CCTGGAAGTACTCGTAGACGATACCGCCAGACCAGACCTGGGACATGGTGTCGCCATAGAGGGCCGCAACTTCAGTGAAGGTACGGGGAGTCACACTGTTGCAACCGTACTCGGAGAAGAAGACAGGAACGGAGTAGTTGGCAAACTCCTCGGTACGGGCCTTGTATCCGGATTCCGCGTAGGTCGAGTCACCGCACCAGGAATAGATGTTGTAACCGAAGAAGTCAATGCCGACGGACTCCGACTGGCAGTTAATGTAGTCGGCCAGGTCATTACGGATGGAAGAAACGTCAGCGGTGGCGTATCCCACACCAATAGAACGGTATCCCTTGTTGCTGATGTAGGTCTTCATGTCGCGGATGGCAGCCTTGACGTAAGGCATGGCCTCAGTAGTTCCAACACTGTTGGCGATTTCATTACCAGCAAAGAAACCGAGAGTGTTGTTGTAACCAGCCATGGCGTCAATGACGCTGGTGTAGCGGTTGTAGAGGGTGAGCTGCCAGGCAGGGTCACTGCGGTCGATGGCAACGCTGGTGTTGGAAAGATCAGCAATAACGTAGATGCCGGCATCAGCGAGAAGCTGCATGCAGTCATCGTGGTCGGCGGTAGGGTCAATGTCGTAGGTACGAATGACGTTGGTGCGCAGCTCCTTCATGTAGGGGATGTCACGCTCGCAGGTGGTCTTGGTACTCAAGGGGTCGGCAGTGGTGCTCTCTGTTATGGAGTATTAGTTTTGAACGTTATATCAGGAAATTGGCTACCGACTCTGATACGCCACACCGCGAAGGAAGCTGGAAACATGTTAGAATTTGATCGTACTATGGAAGTATCTTCGGATGAATACTTACAATTGAGTGTCATTGCTGGAGTAGAAGAACTTGGAACCCTAGATGGAATGAGCATTGAAAATGCTATAGGAGAAGGACACAAGACAGGATCATACCTTGATTTCGATGGGGTCGACGGCGAGCGCCGAGCTGGCGAAAAGGGCTGCACCAGCAGCCAGATGGGAAAGTCTCATGGCGATAGGTTTTATAAAATCAAATAATTGGCGAATACAAACGAGAGTACTGGTATATGAACAAGAACCGCAAAACGAAAGAAAGTCTAATGGACAGCAAAAGTTGAGCTTGGGTCTACCAATGCCTGACTATTAACGAGAGTGGGAGTTTGGTACCACTTCATCACCCTCCGCGACCAAGAGGGCTTTTGTAGAAATGCTGCCGCACCTGTGGAGTCCTGAATCCAACTTCCCACGGCCAAGAAAACCGTCTATGCTTTCATCCCCTTGATTCCACGAATAGGTGGTGACGCGTCAGAGGTCCGCGAATACCCCACGCAGCCATCGCCAGTATAGATAGGAGTCATTGCTGAATCCCCACCCAGTCTGGTCCGAACATATAAGTCAAGCCTTTTCGCCACGACGCAGACTCGCATTTGAGACGAGACTTCCAACTTTCCATTTCAATGTGTTGACTCCGTACCGGGGCTCCCGAGCTCTGTATTCGTGGAAGCGAAGCCTGAATGGGATAGGGCTTCTTGGTATAGGAGAACATCACGTAAGTGCATGCGTATGAGAACGGCACTAGCCGAGAACCTTAGGTGGTCAATCCAATCAATAAACGGTCGTCTAGATATTTGGCTGCCTGCCGACCCACTTCGGGAGATGGGCAAGCGTCAAATCCTGCCATGGTTACTCGGTTTCGCTCCCGAAGAACAATTCCAATGCCGTCGCAAAATGAAGTCTATCTTATCGTTTCTAACTTCGCCCCCATCCATGACGGATCCTTGACTAGATTCAAGCTCAAAGTGGAGGAATCCAGGGCACATTGTCAATTGAAAAGAATACTATTTCTGGATGAAGACTTGGAATTGCAAGGAGACTGAATGGGTTTGAAATGGAACGTGCACTCGGCCCGGTGGACTCAGCCATTATTGTCGCCGCCAACCAATGCGGAAACCACCTCCGAATCAAAGTTTCTCCCGAAGTCTGAATTAGCAGTCTTCCACGAACATTCGATATGGCGAACTTAGCGAGTCATGCCTGCGCCTCCTACGTGGCGAATTGAGCGCTTGCCTGTGCACTTGATCGTCCTGTATTAATGCCATCTACATCATGTTTTCGTAGGTGAGAAAAGTCAATTGACTTTTCGAGACTCGCCTAATGCTCTGCCAGGATTGCAGTGGGTTATCCCAGATTCACATTCTGCAGAGCCATATCATGGAATAGACATCATCCGAGATCCACCAGATTCGACCCGCCGATCCTTCACTTCTTCTTTTCGGTCCGCTTCCAGAATTATATCACGTGAACAAATATAACCCTTACTAAGCGGCTGCTGAGATCATCATTTCGGGCACGTGGCTTTCACAATTTATCACATGATTTATACACACCCTAATCCCATTTGGGCAAAGCATCGATCAGCTCGAAATCGAATGTCGATGGAAGATGGCCCCCAACGAGCTGTGCCAACATGGTTTAGTATCACCCAGCTGACCGGGCTGTGAATGAGACAGGAGTTCCCAGTTATACCCTATTCGCACCATTTGGCCCCATTGACTGCTGTTTTACATTGGCTGCATGAGCTCCTGTTCAAGCTCCCGTAACCTATCGTAAGCCAGGCCTTAGGATCTATCTGATCCTTAATATATCCCAGGATCTAAGACCGGGCTTGGCTGGCTCGCTGTTGGTTGATGCAAGGCTGTCTCAGGGATTTGCAGAGAGCTGCCCGTCATGCAATGTACCTACATAAAACCGCCCTTTTCCCTGGGTGATTTGCGTCTTACTCGGGTGTCCCTATTATTGCTATCCTAATCCTGTGCTGCGCACAGTGTCATTCCTTCACAGCTCAATTCCTCTTTTACTTTGACGAGACATATCACTCTTTTCTGTGTCGTCAATCACATTCCTTCTTTTTACCAGCTCAATCCATCTTGACAGCAATATGGTCTCATTCTCAAAGCTCGTCACTGCTGCCCTGGTGGCAGCCTCAGCCGCAGCCTCCTCCAGCAAGCGTGGTGCAGCCTACAACGATGCGTCGCTTGTTCGTACCCTAGCGAAAAGCAACTCTGGAAGTATGTCGTGGTCATACAATTGGGACATGAAGAAGAACGGGAACATGCCATCGGGCGTTGAATTCGTGCCAATGCTCTGGGGCACTGACTCGGTGGATGACTGGGATTCCGCGGTTAAGACTGCATTGAAGGATGGCAGCAAACATATCTTGGGTTTCAACGAACCGGACAACGCCTCGCAGGCCAACATTGGTGCCTCCAAGGCTGCCACCTTGTACAAGAAGTATATCACACCGTACGGAGATCGCGCCAAGCTCGTCAGTCCGGCCATCACTTCCTCCACTCAGTCCGGCGAGGGCTTCAGCTGGTTCAAGACCTTCATGAGCGATTGCAAGAGCTGCAACATCTCTGCTATGGCTGTCCACTGGTACGGAGGGTCATTTGCTCAGCTCGAGTCGTACATGAAGGAGGCTATCGAGGTTGCTTCGAAGTATGATATCGATGAGGTCTGGCTTACTGAGTTCGCCCTTGACACCGACACCAACGGCATCACCAACGAGTCCACGGCTAAGACCTTCCTTGAGAAATCGATCGAGTGGATGGACTCCCACCCCAAGGTGGGCCGTTACGCTTACTTTTATACCGCAAACAAGTTCTTGCTTACCAGTGGATCGGTAAACGCCCTGGGCAAGGTTTATGTTTCGACATCTTCGTCTTCGTCTTCTTCTTCTAGCTCTGAGACCTCGTCGACTAAGTCTTCGACCAAGACCTCAACCAAGACCTCGACGAAAACTTCTACAAAGACATCGACCAAGACTTCCACAAAGACATCATCAAAGACGACCAAGACCACAGAAACTTCCAAGTCCACCAGTACCAAATCCGCCCACACGACTAAGACTGCAGAGAAAACGAAGACGGTCAAGACCACCAAATACGTCACGTCCACCAAGACTGCAACACACACCAAGACTGCTTCTATTACGCCGCAGGCTGCCTGGAGCTCGGTGCCCACAAAGTCCGCATACGGATGGTAGGCTGCTGTTTGCCTGTCACATGTATAGTCGGATATTCTGTTGAATTCTGGACGTCATGCTCCACGTTCTGTTATCATTTGGCTTTCTTTCGCTTCACTCATGTATTCTTGAGCTGCTTAGCGCAGATGGTGGCTGTTAATATGAGATATATTTCCGTGCTATTACGTTCACGCTACTATAAAGCTGTTGATGGCACTCTTGGTAGTATCGATATAGATCAAGAAGCACATGCGATAAAATAGCTGCCAATTTATTTTGCATGTTCTCTAGCATTGACCAATAAGACGAGGTTCACAACATGATCTAGCTCCGACCGAGCAGTCAAGAACAATCGGGTATTTTCTTGGCGTGACAATCATGGATCTGCGAAGTCACCCAAAGTTTATCTCATAGCCACTGCGATCGGGTTATCGTGGTCAGTTGCTTCGCTATTAGCACTGCTTTGTATAACATGAGTTGTGAGCATTTTTTAAGAAAAAGGGACAATGGCGCATCTGGGAGCGCGTCAGACTGAAGATCTGGAGGTGGCCGGTTCAAGCCCGGCTTGTCCCATTCTTTTTGCATTTTTTTTTTGGTTCCTCTCGGGTAGAGGTTAGACAGCTCCACCGAACCACAATTGGATTGGTTGGATACGTCTGCCTATATAGGCAAATTAGGCTTCTTCTATACAGTACATGTAGATCGATCAATGTTGCAGATTATGCAAGGCACAACATGGCGATGGTTCGGCTTGTGTAGAGTCACCCAACCATTCCACACACACTAGTATCTGGAAATCTTCAGTTCTCGGCGTTGCAGCATCACTGTAGACTGTACTCAGGAGGTGTACCCGGATTAAAGACTGGATTTCCATGGTCTCTGGAGGAAGCGGACCCTATTTGTCCTATATCTCCCCTTCCTAGAGATACATCTTCGAAAATGGTAGGTTAGTTAAGGTTTCTGTACTCATACGAGGAAAAAATGATAAAGTACCCACTTACCATTCTCAACCCCAGCCCTAGAACGGTAAAGCATCTCCATATCGTCAACACACGGGTGCAAGAACCTCAGCAGCTCCTTCGCATAAGCCGCAGCCACAGTAGCAGCATATGCCTGCCAATCCTCATTCGCACTCGCGTCCGCATAGTCTGAAATCCCACAGATGACAATGCTCGGAATCTCATTCATCACCCCGGCAGCTCCACTGTCCTCTATACAGAGCAACTGCCCATCAAACCTCTTATTGAGTGCATCTCGAGCCTTGGCATCCCTCACAGCCCAGTTCCCAGATGCAATAAGTCCATAGTGCACAGTTACCTGCTTCTTAACTTTCGTCTCTTCACCAATTACACCCCCTGCCCTCTTCTTCCTCCCCTCCTCCACCCTAATTCTCATACCCTCCGAAGCAAACCCAAAAACACATACCAGAATAGCACCAATAATCCCCCAAACCATCCTCCCCAAAGCACCCCACAGCCACCACCTCCCTCCATCCCCATCTCTGTCCCGAATAACAACCGGATCGCTCAACCCCTCACCCCTCGTAAACTCCTTCCCCAGACCCAGTCCACCATTCCCTTCCAAATCCCCCAGAACCCTGCCCACCCCAACCCCATACAACTCATACTCGCTCCTCAACCGATTCACCGCCCCAAGCAACTTACTCCCCGGCCGATTCAAGCTCCCTCCAGCATGTTGCATTGCTATCTTTCCCCCAGCCACTAACTTCCCCATATCCCACCCCACCACACCCCCGTACCCACCACTGACCGGCACACTCACAACCACATCACCCAACCGTACCCCATTCCTCGGAATACCGCCCGCCACTCCAACGAGCAGAACGAATCTGATGGATGGGAACGTGTGCAGAAGTGATGTCACTGCGCTCGCGGCGGAGGTTGTTCCCATGGTGGGGAGGCAGGTTAGGACGATGTTGTGCGGTGGTATGGAGCCGAGAGTGTAGGTGTTTTTGTCGCTTGCGGGGGTTGGGATGTGCTGGTGGTGGATGGTGTCGAGAGTGGCCAGGACGGCGGTTTGTTCTTTAGGCAGGGCAGTGATGTAGGCGATTGTGTAGGTGTAGAGAGGGGGAAGACTCTTTTTTGTTGTTGTGGTTTGCGGCATTGTGAGGTGATGCCGTGAGTATTAGTTGCGGCGGTGGGGGTAGGGTTATAAAGAATATATATATAGAGTGAGTGTGGAACGCATTGGGATGGGTGATTGAAGCCTTTGGGACTTTTTGGGATCGTAGTTTAAATGTGTTTCGGGTCCTTGTTGGCAAGCGGTTATATATGCTGTATGGTTGGTGAATAGATGTCTGGTGGAGGGTTAAGCGCCGAGTGCTGAGGTGGATGGGTAGCTCATATGTGGTCCGCTGGCCAAAAAGGTGTTGGATGAGGCTACGATCTAGCCTTGTCTTGGCTGCAGCTGTCACGGTCTAATGCAAGGATGAGTTGGCGCAGATTCTAGGAATTAATATTGCGTTTAGTAGAGATGCCTGCTATTATGAATAGAAGAAAAGGGCTTGTCATTATTACGTAGATAGGTGCTATGCTGTAGGAAGCAGGTCCCTACCCGGCAATGTACAACACTCTGTCCCGCCAAACGAACTTGATTCTAGGTAAAACTTGATAGAGAATCGGAGCAAACTGCAGATGCAATCGCGAACAAGGTATCGATTAATAAAATTAGACACTACATCATGGGATATTGATACACACCACCGGGGACAGCAATAGCCCGGCGAATATAAAACAGAAAGAAGCATAAGACAAAACAGACAGCCACCCTAACCCCCAAGAAACTCCTTTCCTTCAACCCTTCATCTCATACTCAAGGGCTCCGCACTATCTCCAAACAATGAGACACGCTCGAATCATCATCCGCCGGACGTGGACACCCTATCTCACCCTTCGGCTTCTCCAGCGGAAGATTTATTATACGTGGTTGGAACTTCGGCTGTAACTCCTTCTTCATATCCCTTCTACCCCAGAGATATCCAGCTCCCAGCATAGCCACGGCTATGCATGCTAATGGTAGCCCAACACCGAGTCCAATCGCGAGCCTCTTCGATTTTTCAGAATCGGATTGATCCGGTTCGCTGTTGATGTCGCTGCTACCGTCACCCAGTGGGGTTCCAGTTCCTGTTGTTGTGGGTGCAGAGGTAGAAGAACCATCGGAGGCGGAATTGGAGTCGGAACCAGAACCGGAATTTGAACTAGAACCAGACTTAGAGTTGGAGCCGGAGTTTGATTTAGAATTCGAGTCGTCATTAGAAGAAAATTTGAGGAGTTTTGAATCAAGGGTAAATGTCTCGTATGTGTTGCAGCAGGCAGTAGTGCTACCACAGCACCAGGATCCGTCGCCGCAGTTGGTCAGTTGGTAGGTCCAGTCGGAGTTTCCGCCATTCTGTTGTTATGATCAGCTGCTAGTTTGTCTGGTAAAGTCTATGGAGAGACTGACCTGATTACCACAGATGTCCTTTGGCAAGCAGTTCGTCGAGTTCCATGATTGATCCGTGCAGAACTCCCGATAGTATGCTCCTCCACTTGTCTGACAAAGTCCTGAGGGATCACATGTATCTGGATCCGCATCATTGAGCTTACAGCACATCGAATGTACACCCGAGATGGAGACACATGGCTGGTATATGGAGCTGTCCACTTGTGAGCCATCCGGTGCATAGCATGATGATGCTGCTGCTGCCAGAGAAATATAACTTGGGACGAGGGCCAAGAAAGTGCCCGTGTTTATCTTCATTGTGACTGTCTGATGGTGATATCAAAAACCGGGTGAGATACACCCTATAGAGAATTAAAGAAAGAAAAAACTCAGATAAGTTGACAGAACTCCAATTTCCGGCTAACAGAGGGATTTAAACATAAACAGACCCTGCATCTGCCTCGCGAGACTTTGTGTAACGGTGCGGATTCCTTACCCGGTTTACTTGTTCCCGTTTAGGAAATCGTGGGGACTATCTTATCGAGGGAGATGCTTAAGTGACAGAACCCCCTTGGGGATATAAGAAGAAGGAGGACCCGACTGGCCCTTCGCTGTTAACTTTATGGTACCGTGGGTGGGTGGCAGTGTTTAAAGAGAATTTGACAGAATTCCTTATTGTTATACCCCAAAGAACTGGGAAGACTCCATGGTGGTGAGCCCGATCGGCAAGGCAGGAATGTTATTGTGTTGTGTAGAAACTGGGACAGGATTTGTCAACTAGAACCACTACATTGGTGAGCTCCTTGGAGGTGTAACATCCTGCTGAACATGCTATAGTCCGCTTAGTTATTCTTATCTACCATGTTAGCTACGAATGATTGTCAAGGGAAGGTGAACTCGGATACTGGGAAACAGCTGCAGGGTTGGCGCTCCAGAGTACTAAGGGTGTGTTATTTCCTCACAAAAACATGAACAAATTTCACCAACGGTGTCCTGACAGGCCCACACCCTTGGCAACCGTTGCATGCCAGGGCGGGTATGCAGGTCCCAGGGGTGTGGTTGGGGTGCGGAAAACAGTTCCCAGATAAACCCCTTGTTTCACTGATGGCCACAGATGGAATTCCGAGATTACAAAGAGATCCTGGAGTGAATACCAATCAAGGGGTGAAGGACGGAGGATAATTTTCTTGCCAGGAAATCAAACAATAGGGAACTACCAGGGGATCACTCCGCTCTCACAGACCCTCGAAGGGGTTGCAAGTTTACAAGGATTGTCCACCCCCTTCGTAGTGGCAGACACCCTCCTTATACTTTGTTAAGCTATTGCTAAGTCTTCTGGAACATTATCGTGTGATCAATCATTATGGTATGCTCATAAAAGTCATCAACTAAATACAATTATGTAAATACATTCTCTGCCATTCATTCCACCCCTATGCCCAACAAGGAAAGCATTATCTCTTTTCCTCCCTGAGAGACGGCGGAATGCCCTCATCCGCCAAGGCCTGCATATCATCCTCACCCATGGCACCATCCCACCCTTTCGATACAAGGTAGGCCCGGAATTTCTCATCACGGATCCTCAAATCCTCACCCGAAATGTCCGGAACAAAGAAATAAGTCACCAAAATTCCCACAATACCACAAATAGCCGCAATGATAAACGTCCACTTCTTACCCAGATTATCCTCAATGGGAGTGAACGCTTGGGTACCAATAGCAGCGCCTGCTTTTCCCACAGCCGCAGACAATCCATAGCAAGTACCCCGAACACCGGTGGCGTACAGCTCCGACGAAAGTAAGCCGAGCATGTTCCCTGGGCCAAAGTTGCCCGAACTCTGCATGAGACCGTAGAAGACCACAAAGAGTGGGATGATCTTGGTGATTTTCTCAAATGCACAGCCGATAATCAGACCGAAAATGAGGTAGCCGCCGAATCCGATCATCATTACGTTTTTGCGACCGAGTTTGTTGCAGAAGAGAGCGCCGAGGAAGACACCGGGGAGGGAAATGGCTCCGAGGAGGAGCTGCCACTCGCCAGTTTTGAGGATTGAGTCGTTGCCGACCACGGAGGAGATGATACTGGCGGAAAAGACTCCGTTGGGGAAGGTGACAAAGTCTGTCTAAGGTTAGATGTGGTTGACAGATCAGTTGATGGTGAAGGGTACGTACCGTAGAGGAACCAGGCACCGCAAGTTCCAATGAGTGACTTCCAGTAATAGCGAATCACCAGGCCATATGGAACTCGCTTCTTAATGGCTCCGCGACGATAGAGCGCCGAGTTCAGCATGCGCCACCGGAAGTAGAACACGGAAAGAGGCCAGATGCACCCGATACCGAAGCAGACGCGCCAGACGGTGCTGTAGTGAGATTGCTGGCATGCTGAGAATACAATCAAGAAAACCAGAACAGCAAAGGGACCGCCAAATGACAGCGGAAAGTTGGTCACCATGATGAAGGCTGGACCGCGCTGCTTCAGGGTCAAGTCATTGGCGGTTTCGGATGCCGAAACTGAAGATGCGGGATATTCACCACCGGTTCCTGAGATAATCAGCACTCATCAATCCGACGTACTGGAAGGAATCTGCACGTACCAAAGCCAATAATACCACGTGAAACTGTCAGCATCCAGAACATGCCGTTGATAGTGACACCGTGTGATGCGGTGGCCAAGATACCGCCGATAACGATCATTAGAGTTGTGAAAACCATGGCAGCTTTGCGTCCCATGTAGTCGCATGTTAACCTAGGCGTGGAGTTAGCAGGTACCTCTATGTGTGTGAAAAGGATGCCATAGACAAACCCGATCACAATCTGACCAATAACTTCCCCAACAAGCAGGGCATTTGATACACGTGTCGATACAGCCGAAACGTATTGTTTGGGGTATTCTGCCTTTAGAAGCACATTGGTCATAGTCCTGCATACTATCAGCGGGGTACATCGGCACATTGTTTGCGGGGTAAGTACATGAGGTTATTCTGGTACCCATCGCTGATGAGGGCGAATCCACTAGCAAGCTAGAAACATAATCAGTAACGTTTTCCAAGCAGATATTGAATCAAAGTAGATTTGCAGCCAAAGAAGCAAACTAACAATGGTCAAAAAGTCAGAGAGACTCTGTCTCTTGCGGGACACCTCAGCCGAAGGATCAGCGTCCGAGGTATCGACGGCCTGGACGTGTGTCTCCAGGACGCCGACATCCTTCGACTGAGAGTTTTCCCACGAGTTCTCAGTAGACATCGCAATGTTGCAAAAAAAAGAGCACCAGCGGAAGATGGATTGGAAAAAATCTCATTGTGCTGCAGCAGGATGAGCACGAGGGCAGGTTTTTATCTGGGCGTGTAGCCTCTTCCCACTAGGATGGTTACATGCGTATGCAAGCGTGACTACCAATCAGAAGCCGGTCGCAATAGGGATCTCATCCTTGTTATCATGCGTTCATGCAATTGGCGCATCAGATAAAGCTAGGTGGAGCCGAACCAATCATTGCCGCATGCGGGTTCACGTGCGTGGAGCCGTGGATAAGATGCGGTGCTCATTAAGTGCACCATCTCATCCACGTTGATACCAAGCACTATTTGACTGGTGCTTGGCTGGTAGGGCTTCGGATGAGATATCTTGTCTGGGATTCCGACAGACGGAGTGGGATGAGTTACCTGTTTTTTTCTCGGACTTACCCAATAGGGACGAAGTTTTGCCGCTTCACCGGCACGTGGTATAGAAGCTTTCGTAGGGCTGATGCCCAAGAGGACACGTGCTCTTTGTAACAGCACTGAGTAGAAGAATCATAGTACTCTGCAATGACTCAAAGAAATGGCTCTAGTGGCTGTTGGCGTGAAATAGATGAAAGCTAGCATGGTTATGTGGGACCTTAGCAGTCACTATTGGGATAACTAGGATGACTTTGCAATAGCCGTGTTGAGTTGGAAGGTGTGTCGCTGCTGTGACGTGGTGAGTTTAACCATCAGCCACTGCCAGCGTTGCCTTCGCCAATGCGGAACAGGTTATACTGGCTGTAAACTTGGGCAGTCGGTCTGTTTTGGGGCGATTTAACGTTTCAACGGTTCCTGATGCTTACATTTATGACGAATTGGTCGCGTCTTCTTTTTCTAGTACTAGCTCCTTCAAGCTTCGAGAATAATGAATTATTGTATATAGTTCAATCATCTTAAGTACACAACTTTTTCTTGAGATTAGCAAGAACAACAGCCGCGTAAGCCAGATCCCGCGCCTCCGAAGCCCAATGAGTCAAAGACCTTATCGCCTGGTCTAACAAGTCCGGCCAATCTGCCAAATAGTCCACGAGTCCCTTGTCCGCCTTGACAGCTGCAATTATTATGAGGGCTGAACTGAGTACACCGCGGGCGACAAACCAGGTTCCATGATGTCGGTGCTGCGTCGCCTTGGAGTTGATTATATGGAAACTGCACCCGATAGCTTTCCGCATAAATTTCATAGCCTCCTCGTTCTCATTAATCTGCCCATCGTCATGATGAATTGCGTAGTATACAAATGGCCGATAGAGCCACGATCTCAGCTGCAGAACCCGTGCTTGCAGGTTGTACGTCAGCTCAAACCTGGGTGCCGAGTCCCATTCTTCGAAGTGGATTATGGATGGTCGGTTTCTGAACCTGATGTCGGACACCATACAGTCAATAAAATAGTATATGAGAGCCCCTTCCCCGTTAACAAAGTTAGAGTTTCGTCTCTGGCAACTTACCAGTGATCTATTTGGGATTCGAGATCCGCGGCTGTCCGGCACATGTAAGATAGATTGGCAGGTGACCATTGCGAGTCGTTAGTGCTGTACATAAAGTTAAGTATCTGCGCTTCTACCCGCATGAGTGCAACATCTGATAAGTAGTAATACGTGGATAACTTCCAGAGATGTGACAAGTCTTCTGAGTCTGTTGGCGTCCCGGACAGCACTGCTTCGGAATCGGTCGCGCTTACGGACGAGGGTATTGGGTACCCGTCGGATACGTTGAACTCACATAAAATCGAGTCGGGTATGTTGAGCTCCGCGCGTAAGTCACTGGATAGATCACAAATATTAGCACCAACCTAGATCGAGAAGTTACTCAAAAGAGACTGGCATAAGAGAAAAGAAGGATAGAAGTCACCATTCTGACTTCCAGCATGTCCAGTAAAGGCTCAGCTCTGCCGAATCTAAATGCCCCCCGTTCGATTCATTACCCACAGCTGCTTCCTTGTGTCGCAAGTGGAGACTCAGAATGGCGGAGGCTCGAGAAAAGTCCATCCATGCTCTAGCGGCATTTAGCTTGTACATCTGGTAGACCCCGCTAAGAAACCAGCATTGCGTGGTCAAAATCCGATCGCCAGGTAAGGAGAGCCTCTCCAACGCTTTCTGATAGAACTGCTCTCCTGTAGCGCGAAGTGATTCGGCGTGGTCATCACGTTCTGCCGAGCGATAATCATATTGAAGTGGACTTGCTAAACAGCCTAAGGCGCAGGCGAGGAACTTGAACAAATCTTCTTAGCGGGGTTGTGAGACCGGAGGTGGTGGCGGTGACTGTCTATCTTGCACAGCGCTTCTGGGGGGGGGGGTCCCTTTGCTCACCACTAAACAGGAATGAGCGTTCTGAGATGTCTCGCTCACTTCGACCCTGACGGCCGATTGACGTAGGACAACCGTATTTACCACGGGATTCTTAACGTGCACAAACTGCAAGAAGCGGTCAATGAGATCTGGTATGAGGGCCAAATTGACATCGGTGTTGGCAACTTCTTCAAGACCATGATCGTGGTCGGCAAGAGTGAGACTATTCAGAGTTGTTTGCAAGCGAACCTCTTGGAAGATCGGCCACGACAAAATTGCATCAGGACATATCCTGGCTGCAGGGATCTTCAGAGACACAGTCTGTGGCGTTTGTGGGCTTAAGTCGGCCGTGTACTGTTTTGGCGGCCCTTTCAAAGGTAGGGCCGCCGTCACCCCTTCAGGATTTATGGAATTGAGAGACTGTTGGATTTCTGTCAAGCGATCGAGAATTGCAATGGTGGCGGGATCAAATCTAGTAAGCGTTATATGTGAACATATTGTAGCAAACGGAGATACACACACGTGTGTGAACACATGCATTCATACGTATGTAGTAAATAGAACTTTGGGGGGAGAAGCAGCATACTTTGAGAAATCTACATGATCCTGGTATACGCAATGCGACTCAGAGATCTGGCACGAAGAGCAGGTCGGACGAGCATTGTCGCATTTGATCTTTCGCGAGCGACAGACCCTGCATGCTGCCACAGCCCGTTTGCGAGTGAAAGCTCTCGCTTCTCGCTGAGACACCCTGTATTTGCTGGTACGTGATGTCATCCTTCACTCTTCCGAAAGCGCGTACGTACCTCCCCAAACTCCAAGCTCGGATGGGACGAAGTAGAGGCTAAGTACTAAGGATCTACGGCAGTGATAAGGTCTAATAGTCAGATTGGCCAAACACGGTTAGGAAGCCTTTGTTTATTCCTAATTAGATTTTCCGTTCCCCTTATCTTATCCCTTCCCGCTTACGCTTTGAATTTACACTGCGAAATGGAATTGCCTCCCCTACTGCCCCTGCCAGTCGACTTCTGCGTTCTAGATTCTGCCTGAAATTCTATCATGCTCTAAAACAATGAGGAATCCTACATGCATCTTCACTGTCCATATGTTTAATCTACGTTCTATTTTCAGAAAAATTAAGTTTTTGTTGTATCAGAAAGGGTTGTCCCCCCAAAATATGAGATCCATTATTCACAAAAAATGTACGCAGCACTAATTTGTCGTACCTCAGTAGGTTACCCAACTTAGCTAGTCCGTTGACTCAGGATGAAAAGGGAAGGTTAGATGCTGCATTGTCATCTCCAAGCGCACCAAAACTGGCTAAATGACATGCCAAGACAAGAGGACAACCAATGCAGTTGCCTCGGGGTTATTGGCTAGTGGGCAAGATTCTCTGGCCAGGGAGTTCCAGGGGCAATTTCAGACCATTTCATTTCGGTAGAAGTTAGGTATTGGATGCTTGTCTCACGTCGTGGAACCAACGAGCCCTGCTCGTGAGGTATGGTCGCTGGAAATGCATCGTTGAGCTGCTGCAAAACAGCCCAGGAAGCTTGTGCATTGGGGTCATGATCCTGGGTGCCGTGTAGGTCACTGATGCCTAATGTGTGGTATAAAATAGGGTGCTTCTGGTAGTCAACATTGTTGTCCATGGCGGCTACAATACGCATCAGGGGATCGTATATGAAGCAGTAGCCGACCGACGGCATCAGGACATATGCGCCGCTGTTGAGGGCATAAGACCCCGCGCCCCTGGTCACGAGGGAGGCATTGTAGAATATGCTATCGGTGTCGTCATCGAAATTTAGGGCAAAGGGCCATGCGCCAATATGGAGCTTCGGGCGCTGAGCAGCCATGACGAAATTCATACTTGGGTAGAAATGTCTGTCATAATCAGTCAGCAACTTGGTTATATACACACCGTCACTATAAAATTTGGAAGGAAGCAGGGAGAACCATACTCGCCACACTGAAGCATGCCAACACGACCCAGGGGTGTGTTAACCACTCTGAGCTGGTCGACCGTGCCATCGCTAAACATATCCCGTTCTGAACCAGATGGTCTAAGCTTCCGACGATGCATAACCACCTCGCCATCTTTAGAGATCAGTGCCTGGGCCATATAGATGTAGTTTCCAGATCTTTCAGAAAATGCGACAGCCGCCCAGATACCCACGGACTTAATTCCATCAATCAACGTATTCCACTCGTGACTCCCAATTTCCAGAGAGTTCTCAATGTAGGAGGCCAGATGTGTCTTCTTCCAGTCATTCTGCTCCCTCCATTTGGGAAATCTGCGTAAGTAGAGTTAGTGAAATGTGTCATGCGAGGTAAGAGGGCACATGAAGGAAACAGACCCAGGGAACCAAAGTTCAGGAAACGTAATCAAGGTGGCACCAGCGTCTTTGGCTTCGTGCATTAGGCGTAAACCCACTTCAATAGATTGTGAGATGTCGATATTTATACCGGTCCAGTCGCGGTTCTGCAAAGGAAGCGGCCAGTTTGGCGGCGGGCAGCGCACAAGGGCCACCTTCATCTTTTGAGATTCAGCCATGTCTGCAGACCTATTATTGGTAGGAGAGTGATGAGGGAGATTGCAGTGGAAAGGCTGGCTGAACTATGGTTGTAATCTCATGGGTTTTGTATCTCTTTCTATGCTTCGCCATCACTAGTCCCAAGTCATTGGAAGCCAAAGTATAATAGCTAAAGTATAGTATTTGTTGATGGGTTCGGGGAGTCACGGAGCTGAGGTATATTTGACCCACTTTTATCACCATCGACGTTGTGCTCTTAGCGCATACTCCGCAGTCTGAGTCCTTATCGGTCCGCTTTGGTGTCATCAGATAATGAATTGCTTAACGCCGCGACTCCCCGATTGGCTAATGTTTCATCAGTCGCTGATTCGCTCGTCTATTACATGGAGCATCTGTCCCTATTTTACAAATAGAATTGGGATGGTCTCGAAAATGACCAAGAGACTTTGTGTTTGTTGCTGTAGGTTATCATCAACTTCGCATATTCCTTCATGGGTCAATCCAAAGATATCCCAACCACCAACCACCTCTCTCCTATGGAGGCGGACTTGGAAGACGGAATGCTAATAGTATCTCCATTTCCATGGACTGCACTTCATCTGGTGAAGCTGAACTTTTGTGCTCTCAGTCTTGTCTTATTTGGTAGGTGCGCCGTGCTTCCTCAAGATATAGGATAAGTGGTGACCAGATCCGTGGCTAACGGCACCGGCAGCTTCGGCAAATGGATATGACTCGAGTATGATCAACAGTTTGCAGTCCTTGTTCCCCTGGGTTTCCTTCATGTCGAGCCCGACAGGAGCCTGGCTGGGGTTTATCACCATTGTATACTGGATAGGACTGCTCCTAGCTTACACCGTTGCTCCATCCATATCCGACCGGTTTGGGCGAAAGATAGGTCTATATATCGGGCTTCTATTCGTGACTGTCGGAGCAATACTACAAGGTCTCTCGCCGAATCCGACCGGCTGGATTGTTGGACGTGGTCTGGCAGGGTGTGCAGCCTGCTTTTGGAGTTGTAATGCTCCAGTACTCATCAGCGAGATTGCATACCCGTCGCATCGAGCAACCGTTAGCTCCTTCTATCAATGTGGATATTATGTCGGAAGTACCCTCGCTGCCTGGATTATCTACGGTATGCTGGATAACTCTTCCTCATGGAGCTGGCGAATTCCCTCGCTGCTGCAACTCATTCTACCACTTTGTACACTGCCTGGTCTCCTGCTCTGTCCAGAGAGTCCTCGGTGGCTCCTATCGCAGGGACGAGTTGAGGAGGCCCACGCAATTCTTACAAAGTGGCATGCTGGGGGTGATAGGAACAACCCACTTGTCTCTCAGCAAATGCATGAGATTCAGGCTGCTCTTAAGATTGAGACCGAGTCTGTACAACACACAAGCTACCTCGATATGCTGAAGACAAAAGCCAATCGTCGCCGCCTTGTAATCACCTTATCCATAGCCCTGTTCAGCCAATGGGGTGGAAATGGTGTTGTCTCGTTCTATCTTACCGAGGTCCTCAAAGCCGTCGGCATCACCAAGTCAAGCGAGCAACTGATCATTACAGCTTGCCTTCAGATATGGAATCTTATCTGCGGAATTGGCGCGGCCCTCCTGGTGGACCTAGTGGGCAAGCGTTCTCTGTTCCACTCATCGGCAATCATCATGACCATCAGCTACATTATGATAACAGCATTCACCGCGAGCTTTGAAGAATATCATGAACGCTCGGTGGGAACAGCTGTGATTCCCTTTCTGTTCATTTATTTTGCTGGTTACGGAATCGCCCTGTAGGCCATCCACCCATACCGCCCACTAATTAGACGCTGTTGCTCACTATGCTCCCAGGACCCCGTTACTCATTGCCTATCCTTGTGAGATATGGCAATTTAGTCTCCGTACCCGGGGGCTGAGTATTACATGGATTTCATCCTGTCTGTTCGCCTCGTTCAATTCGCTGGTCAATCCGATCGCCCTGGAAACTATTTCGTGGAAGTACTATTTTGTATTTCTGGCAGTCCTTATTGTATACGGCATAACCGAGTACTACATGTATCCCGAAACAAAAGGCCGTTCCTTGGAAGAGATTCAAAGGCTGTTTGAAAGCGAAAACCCCGAACCAACGTCAAGCAGGACGACTGACTAAGTGTATGCTCTTCCGTGGAATAACTATGGATGCATGATAGGCAATGGCACCGTCAGACAAGATTTCTGACAATTTCAGCTAAATCTATAATAAATAGTATATCGTATATGATTTCTTTTACCTAGTAAATAGGCATTCTATTGTGACAAAAAGATTCTACCACACGCCTAGAAACTAGTTATTGTAGGAAAGGTAGATATAGAAAGCTGACTCTGGTTCACGGTAGCTGCTTTGGGGTCAGAAATGATTAGACTGATAGTAAATTATCTTTGTACGTCATAGAGCTCATTTGGTATCGGGAACTCTTGGAACCAGACACATTGATTTCTGACGGCCACGTCTACGACCACGTCCTTTTCTATCCTCTCAGAGTCTAGTATCGTCGCTATTGAAGCCATTTTCTTAAATAGCCGTTATCGTAACATTATTGGTTAGAGGCCAGATGCGCGACACAATGTCAGCGTGAATGGGGTCCATAAACTTGTAATATCCTCTCTGTTCGATGCTATCAAGTTCAATGACAGAAAATGTGGAGAAGTGCTATCTAGCGAGCTTCTGGTTAGCCAAGATGAATACAGATAATATATATGACATGAGAACATACAGAATCTGTTGCAGGGCTATCCTCAGATCCCGCGCGTATACCTTTGATATAGAGGCTTTGCGACTGGCCCCGACATTTCTGCGGAAAGAAAAAGAAGAATTCTTGCAACAACTATGCATTATCACGCAAGTTTGACTACTTTCCAAGAATATAACGAGCAATACTGCCACTTACTCCCCGCCGGGTAGCTGCAGCGACATCCTGCTTGAACTTCAGAAGAACCAGATACATATTAGCCATTGCGGCGAAGCATAAGAGGTACCTGTCAATGATGTTTTCTAGCAGTTAGTAAGTATTGGTGGATATGCTGACATGTTACTGCCCACCTATCCCGGTGTGTCGCACTTATGGGGCACCCACATGTGACGTGGTCAGAAATAACTGCGACAGTGCCAGAACGGAGCTGGAAAATAGTTCAGTCAAAGTCAGGTAAATTCTGATACTGAAAGTAATCACTACATATGATTTATTAATATATCTGAAACTTGACCAGCTCTGAATCTGGTATGATATTCTTCTTAATGAAGAGATAAATCATCCTTAAAATTCTCTAATACCCTGAGGCACTCTAAAAACCATCAAAGACCCTCAAAAGTAGTCATATATCTGATAATAATTCATAAAGCTGATATAGAGTCAGAACTGACTAGTCTGACACTGAATATCATTTACACGTGACAGGGACTGTCCAATATCAGAATTGCTTTGAGCCCAACGCACTAATTTCTGACACGGTCGCAACTGAGACCCCGCACTTAGGTAATGCTATGCTTCATCGGGGGATCACCAACCCGTCTCGGAGATATTTCCAACACAGTTACGGCCGATTTTGCATGAACTCGAACATTCGAGCAGAAGCCCTAGTCGACGTGATTTATAACTCTCTTTCCTTATGAGTTGTGTATGGTACTCATAAAAGTACTTATTTTTGGATCACACCTTCAGAACCTTATATCAAGATAATCACTACTACAAAGACTCTCAACCATGACTGTTAGCCCGAACCGCTCGATCGCCATCATCGGCGTGGGATCGACCATGTCCCGCTCGCTTGCCCTTTGGCTCGCAAGTGTGGGGTGGAACATTGCCCTCGTGTCTCGCTCTGAGAATAGCCTGTCTAAAATCGCCGACGAAGTCAAAGCCGCCCAGACAAATGCGGACGCCAAAGTGATCTACCGTACCGCTGATGCTGGCAACCCCGACAGCTTGACGAGCACACTGGACTGGTGTGCTCAGCAGCTTGGTGGTAAGCTGGATGTCTTGAACTACAATGCAGCTCGTGTCGCCCCCTCGCACATCACTAAACTCACTCCGGAGGAGCTGAATCTCGACCTCCAAGTCTCTGCAGTGGGCACCCTTGTCGCAGGCCAATGGTTCACCCGCAACGCCAACACCGACAATATCTCCAAGGGTGAGTGGCCGCTCTTCTTGGTCACCGGTGGCACGCTCGACAGAGAGCCGCAGATTGCCTGCTCTTCATTGTGTGCTGCCAAGGCCGCTTCACAAAGTCTCAGCCGTCTCTTTGCCCAGGCGCTTCCGCAGGAGGCTCAGATTGTGGTCGGCATGCCACTGATCCGCGCAAGCATTGTTGACCCGGAAACTGGTGGCTACACCGAGGGCTACCATCCCGATACTATCATCCATACGGTGTTCAAGCCATTCTTTGAGGACCGCGAGAAGCTACAGGGTGGAGTGGACAACTGGACCGTGGAGCGTGTTATTTAATCACAGCAGCAACTGTGCCGGGATAAGTAAAGTACGGCGATGATTACAACCATCCGGCAAAGACAAGATTCACTCGAAGTCTGTTCATTGCAAGTCATTTCAATCAGTATTTATATTATAAAAAAGTCTTCAAGCGAAAGGACAAAGCATTTGGAATTTATGCCTTTTTATACTATGCCCCAAATAGTCTATATATACATGTCAGGATCCAGCCTGGTGCGTTTCGGGCAGAGAATTCTCCCGATTTAGACCGATAGGACTTTTCATTCTTTCTCTATTGAATTATTCGCATTTAGACGCGCTGTTGGAGGGCATGATTGGCCGTCAAATCCAACGAGGTTTTCGACCGCGGCCACAAAAGAATACGCCGTTGGATAATGCCACCGACACCGACACCGACCAGACTGTCCCTGCAGCATTAGGCTGCAGGCTAAATCCCTACTTCAATATATATTTTCATACCTGCCACAGAAAGTGTCGCTGCACCTCTTCAAAGTCTGCCTAGTTCTCTCCAGTCAATTCAAAGCCCTCGTCGTGAAAGAAGGAGGATATCTTGAGGATCATGTAATCGAAATCGTCTACTAAGAGCTCGAAGATTACGCGCTCTCCCAGACTCCACCCGTGAGCATACACGATGCTGCTAGAACCATCTCCCGTCTATGCTTGTCCGCGAATCTTAGTGTATTATCCTTGAGCCCCTTCAAGAACTTTGAGGGGCATAACTCGCCCCTGGAAGAGCGACTTGATCGTGCGCGGAATTGGCTCGAAATCGCCGCCTGCTTGAAGGCTAAGGACCTGCAAGTGCCCTCCCAGTTTTTTACCGGGAACAGCTCGGGAGATTGGACTCAAATGGTGGGAGATCTTCAAGCGCTTAGTGACTTAGCGGCTTCGTACTCAGTTGGCATTGCCTACGAGGCTGTGGCTTGGGGTACCTATATCGATACCTGGGAGGAATCGCTCCGGGTGGTCCAAGATGTGAACCGCGGGAATTTTGGTCTTTGTCTCGATTCTTTTCATGTGGCTGCTCGAGTGTGGGGAGATAACACGGTCGAGAGTGGTATCCGCGAAGATGCCGATTTGGATCTGCGGAAATCGCTCGATAGATTCGTTGAGACTTGCCCTTTGGACAAGATATTCTATGTACAGCTGTCCGATGGAGAGAAATTTGTACCTCTATTGCGGCCGGGACACCGCTTTTAACAGAAAGAGTATCCTCCAGCTTTGTCTTGGTCACGCAACATGCGTCCGTTCCCCCTTGAGGAGGATCTAGGGGCTTACTTTCCTGTTGCAGTGATCGCTCACGCGTGGCTGAATAGGAAAGGGTGGAAAGGTGTGGTCTCGATTGAAATATTTGACTGGCGAATGAGGGATGAATCAAGGCGTCCGAGTGACAATGTTAGCCGAGCCGTGGAATCTATGCGAAAACTGACCTCCGTTTTGGAAAGTTCGACCTAGATTGATGCCAATAGGTGCTGCCGTGTTATTTCTGGAATAAATGCAGAACAGAGAGATATAAGATGGCCATCAAGGCGCTTTTGTCTAAGGGATTACCTGTTAGAAATCGAGACGGCAGCATATTAGATTATAAAGTGACTATCTCTTCCCATTTCTAAAACATCACAATACCACCGTCGATCTTCAAGGCTCCCCCTGTCATGAACCGAGCATCCGCACTCCCCAGGAACGATACCAACGCCGCAACATCTGCAACCTCCGCCCACCGACCCAGAGGAACAGTATTCAACATACTTTTCATCTTCTCTTCGGACCACGCGGCGAGAAACATAGGTGTATTGACACCGCACGGGTGGACCGTGTTAACACGAATATTATACTGGCCCAGCTCTGCAGCTGCAGTGATGCATAGACCTCGAAGAGCAAACTTGGAAGTAGAATATGCCGATAGACCGGGTGTTGCGCGAAGACCAGCAATTGAAGAGACCAGGATAATACTGCCCCCGTTGCCGGAGTCTCGCATTGCCCGTCCGCAGTGTTTAACGCCTAGGAAGGCTATACAGAAAACATAATCTTAGCTGCTCATTCTAAACGTTTCAGGCTATTTCCAAGAGAAGTACTCACCAGACCGACAATTCACTTGCATCACCTTATCATATTGTTCAACATCAGTATCCAGAATACTCGTTGACGAATACGAAATGCCCGCACAAAGAAGCGCAACATCAAGCTTCCCGAATTTCCGAACAGTCTCATTAACAGATCGCTGAACGTCTTCTTCAGATGTGACATCGGCTTGAACGGTAAGAATCAAATCGTTCCCATTCAGGCTCTTCCGATCTGGCAAATCTGCGATCGCTTTTATCAGCTCTTCTTTTGACCGAGCCAGTCCCTGTGAGCTGATGTCGACGAGCACAACTTTGGCGCCTTCTAGAAGATATCGCCGAGCAGATTCCAGGCCGATGTTTCCTGCAGCTCCGGTTATGAGGGCTACTAGGCCCTGTAGGCGGGTTGGAATAGGATCCTGAGGAGATAGAGATGGGGGCATTGTCGGATTCATGTTTTGCGGCAGGTTCGACAGTGCGGATATTGTATTGAGCTCTATGATAGATTGCGGAGGGCTTATTTTTCGATGAATACTCTTTCCCTCAATCAAGTTATAGGATTATCTAAGAACATGCATGAGTGACTTAGCGAGCCACTCCTTCGAGTGAGATAAGGAGTGAGATAATGCAGGAATTCCGAGGTGAGGGGAAGTTCGGAGGAGTGCCCGAAACGTCTACTTTTTCGGAGCAGCTTCGGAGCCGTTACCGGCGTTGTGTCAAGGGGCATTGTCGCCGGGAGGATAGCCACCGCCAGCCCCGCAAGGAAGTGAAGAAAGGAAAGTATATCGTAGGCTTTGCTCGAGTATAGCTTGCTTGAAAGAACTAGACACTAATACGGACTTACCGGTGCGAACATATGCAGGAAAACTGGAGAAAGATAGCTACTAGAAGAGTTGGACGACAGCAAAATTCATGAATCAGATTGAAGTGTTTGATTCATGATATATCGCTTCATTGCTGGAGGCTGTCCATATAACTTCATCCTTCTTCACCATTCAAAGTATAGACCTTAGCTTCCCTTCACACGTTCTCCACATGACTAGAACTAATCTGCTTCTCCAACCGAGCTTCAGCAGCAACCGTCGACTCCGCCTGTCGAAACTCTCGGTAGCAAGGACACTAACATCTGCCCCAAACAAGATGCCCGTATCCTCCAACGAAACCCCCTTCGTTTCCGGAACAAACAAGTAGGGAAAGACCAAAGCCACGATAGTACATGCTCCAAAGAAATAGAATGTGCCATATTTGATAGAGGCAATCATGTAAGGCAGTGAGTAGACGATAATGAATTGAGCCAACCACTGCATGCACACAGCACACATCATCCCGATGGTCCGCACACGAGTTGGAAGGACTTCCGATGCAAATATCCAGGGAATGCCGTTCCAGGAAAACCCGTAGAAAATTGCATAAATGTAGATCATTGCGACCGCTGTTCGTGACCCAGAGTCGCTAGGTGGAACTTGGTCGAAGGATTGACTTAGCTGGGAATATATGGCCAGGTAAAACATGGCCACTGCTGCACCGATCGCGCCAACTAGTAAGGGACCGCGACGTCCGAACCGATCCACGATCCAGATCATGAATACCATTGTTGTGCACATTTTTACTAGGCCATAGACTCCGGTCGCTAGAAGTCCGACGGAGGTTCCAGTGAATCCAATTTGAAAATGAGTAAGACGTCAGCGCCTTCTCTCAAACACCATAGTCTCCGTCTGGAGTTTCAGTATCCTACCGAGCGGAAGATAGTTGGACTGTAGTAGTTGATAGAATTGATCCTTGAGGAAAAGTCAGACCCTGATACAAAATATCGTAAGGAGATACGGAATATACCCAGTAAGGTTTTGTAGCAGCATCAGCATCACTCCAATCAAGATTCGATTCCGGACACCGGGGGCAGCACATTCACGCACAATGTGTGACAGTGTCCGTCTTCCACCACTCATCTCAAGTTCTTGGTTGACAGCAGCCTGAATTTCGGCCAACTCATTGACCACGTAGGGGTGGTCGAATGGAAGATTGCGAACCCAAGCGAGGTTTTTCTGTGCTTGGACGATTCGATTCTTGCTAGCAAGCCAACGTGGACTTTCTATCATCCATGACATACAGATCAGTAGCAGTCCAGCTGGAATCATCTGGATGCCGACGGGGATTCTCCATTGGGCAGAAGTTGTGCTCGGTATATTCTTGTCGACGCCGTAGTTAACCCAGAATCCGAAGACGAGAGCCACCTGTAGCATGATCTCGAAGCAACCGACGAGGCGCCCACGGATGAGGGCTGGAGAACATTCGGCGATGTAAACGGGAATCATGGTGGAGGATGCTCTTTTGGAATGTTGGCCGTCAATCTCAGACAAGGAAGGATGGGAGATAATGGCTTACCCAACTCCTAGTCCTGTTAAGACCCGTCCGGCGTAGAGCTCATCGATACGTCCCACGAGTTGGAGGCCTGATCCGATGGTAAAGACAACGCCCGATCCGAGAATGACGGGCTTCCGACCAAAATACTCGGCGAAGAAGAATCCAAAAATGGCACCGAAGAATGCACCCGCTTGAAACATCGACACTACATTGGATGAGAGACTGGTTGAGTTATTCCCGTCTATATCTAAAGAAGTCTTGAATGCTGGAAGCTCTAGTGTCCCTCCAATAAAAGCCGAGTCGTAGCCGTACATCGCCGAGGCCTGGGAGAAAGTCAAGTCAGCAGGATGGCACCCAGAATGTTTTGTATTGCTAATCCTACCCAGGCGGCCGAGAGAGCCACCATGTAACCTCGATACCCGTATATTTCCAATGGTGCATCATCACCATTCCCTGATGAACGAGAAAAAGGGTTCCTCATTATGGGAACGTCAGCAAGATAAAAGGGAGATAGGGAAGATTATGTGTCTGCAACTAATCGGTGATCATCTGAAAGGCTTCGCTTTGGAGCTGACAGAAAGGGGTTTTATACCATGGTTTCCTAGCCTAACCTGCTATACACCGAAAGCTTTGGTCATCTTCTACAAAAGGGAAAGGATTTGCCCCCCACGGGGACATCTTCGAGATGCGGAGACCCCACCAGCCCGAGAGTTTGTCAACTCCACAGAGGCGTCGGCCACGATGATGGCTTTGCCTGCCTGGTAATAGACACGTATACGGTGCTCCTGAATAAAGTGGGAGACCCTCGTCAACCGAAAATTGAGCCGTTCCAGGGCAGACGTGTTGAATGACGTTTATGTGGCTAGACCGACGGCAGAGACTGTTGCGCTGCCGCTGGTTAAACCATACCGTGGGTAGAACTATAGTTAGTCTGCCACATCGTTCCGCCCTGTGTAGTTTAGCTCCCCTCGTTCTAGAATCAATCAATTATTTCATCATGTTCCGCCTACAGCATGATAGAAGGATGGTCGGTATACACAATAGGTAGCAGCTCATATTTAGCAGCGTGTATTATAAGGCAAAGCTTGCAAAGTATCCAAACAAGGCAGAAGACTTGTGATCCAAGCAGCCAGTAGTTCCGTTCTGCGGGGGTCAAGATCCTGCTTAGAAACGTGATAATTTCAACCTGTGTACACGATGGTGGTTTCGTTAGGTCTTCGTGTGGGTAGTTGACATGGTACATCATGGTCCCGTGGCCTTTGCAGCAAGCGTTAAGATTGACCTCAACGGATGGGCAGGATTGAAGTAGACCAAACACTTGACCAAAAGAAAAAGGAATTCTGATTGTAGATCTTCAAACGCACGTTGTTCAAGATCCGTAGTAGTGAATGTCATTCGAGTCGCGTAGTCTATCCGAAGCGGTCTTGAGCAGTGCCATCTTACATGTTTAAAGAGACCTCGCACGGGCGGCATAATGCTTGGCGTAGTACCACAACCATCCAGTTAAGCCCAAGTACACCTCTAGCAGTGCAAGCGTTGAGGAGAATCCAAGCTCGCGTATAGCAGGGGTACGTTCTTCCAGGATTGAACTACTAAGCGCAAACTACTTGCCTGAGAATGACTCAATTACTAGGCCAGAAGACGAAATCAATCTATTGATTACTAGCAATGCAATGGAGCAACTGAGAAAGTAAACTACTGCACATTTGTTCGCGGACGGAGTGCCAGTCCCGGCTCCGATGCTTCTTGCACCTTATGTTGAACATCCCTAGGCGAGCGGTTCTCCCCAGCCCGGCGAGTTTCTCTAAGCGTAGTGCCGCAAGGTAGAACCTCTACGAAATCTCCTTCCTGTATTGTACCCTCTCATTCTCCTCGTCCTCCTCTTCTTGTCGTACCAGGACGTCTTCTTTTCCTTCCACTTTGTTATGATCAGTGTACAAGTCTTCAGGCGCTTCTTCAGCACCACATAGAGCCAACGCCCTGGTCAACTTCCACTGCATCCATAAAATATCAACCGAGGGGAGGGTTAGTTTTTCGGGATCGTTTGTCGTGAAGTTGATAACATCGCCACTTCGAATGGACGCTGAAGTTACACGATTCGACTCTCAGCTTCCTCTGGTCGTCGCTGAGATCAAGTGGCTTTATCGCAAAACACGCTCCCTCCCACAAGCCATGTACGCTTGACCACAGCGCCACCAAACTGGTACAAGTCTCTGTCCCAATGGGATCTGACACTGCCTCTCTCCAGCTCTAGTTATCAACCACCCATCGTCGTCCCTTTCTTTGCACTTTACTGAAGTTAGCATTGCATCTGACATAGCATGATACTAGAGTGACTGGTAACCTACCAGTCGTTTGGCATCAGATTTTCGAATCAATGATTCGAGACGTTCGGTGTCGGCAAGCCATAGGTACGCGGCGGACGCGCGATCAAAGTTGCTCGATGAGTTCCGCCCCCCACCCCCCAGCATTCCCAGTTCAGGGTACGCAGTCTTCATGTTGGGCAATAAACATGCTCATACGCAACCTTTTATGAAAAGAGTATGACAATAGAAGATGCTCAGTCTAACACTGAGATTTCCTAATGAGGAAGAAATATAATTAATCCCACATTTTCGGAATTTATGATATAAATAGCTCGTAAGTCTTCATTGAAATGAATGATTACTATATTAGGCTATCTGGGATGATAACTGCTACTACTCTTCTTGAGGCATGAGCTCGAAGGTCAAGGTAGATGGAGAGGATAGAAAGAGAAAGAGAAGGAGGAGCGATGAGGAAGAAGAATGCTTTATATAGACCTCGAGATTCAATACAAGTATCTATGGTGAATCTGCTGCGTACTATTGATTGCAAGGATTAACAAGCCCAGGGCTGATTGACCTTTGTTTCACCGTATCAGTCTATCGCAGTTACTATTATCTAGGAATTCACTTTGATATATGCAAACCGTTTAGATCCGCCTTTACCCTACAGAGAGGACCTGCGATAAGCGCTACGAAGAAAATTACATCACTTTTTTTCTATTTTCTCATGCTTTTATCTCCAGTTTACACATTCAAGTGATATACTAGTTTCAGAGCTCGCTCAACGCCCTAGATTCAAAAAGTCTTCCAGGAATAGAATGGCTGGCCGTCTGTTTTGCTTGGGGAGGAGTGGGAGACCGCTACCAAGGCACTTTGAGCCGCACCCGCCTCCGATTTGGTCCTACGTGCGAAAATGTGTAGTAATGTTTACTATATTTGTTTCATCATGGGATGGGTTGTGGTAGATGAGAAATCAAGATGTACTTTATTCGGGTACAGCACAGAAATCGACACTGTCTTCCCCTCATATGTGTTGTTCGTGTCTATAGCGGACAGAAACTTCCGTCCGACTCTCATCGTATTATGCCGCCTCCCAAGCCGCGATTTCCATCATCTGATAGGATAGGATACTTGATTTGCAAGAGCATGATGAGAGACTTATGCGTCCAATATCTGCAGCAGTGATTTGTTATAAGTTTACTCGATCGTCCGAATTGGGAAGCTAACCCGACCTAGTTGTCGATCAGTTGGATTTCTTATGTAACTGGTGCATTCATCGCCCTCCAACAATCGAAGAAGGGGGTCAGCGACCCGTTTTATGCCTGGTGATGGGTTGTATCCTCGGTTGACATATGAACATATGAAATTCTTATCGATGCCTATTTGCCTTACTGCAATACCCAGTTCCGTGCGATGTATGGCCCGAGTTGTCTTCTTAATCATGGGTCCATCAACGGGCTCTATGATCAAGGAAAAGCTTGCCTCTTCTTTTTAATTGCCATTCATTGTGACAATTTAAGCCATATTCCTCATGTAGCATGTGAACATCTCATCGTCTACCGCATTGCTTGTCGTAAGGACCTCCTTGAGAGCCCCCCCACACCCCATTTCTTCCATATGGTCGGAGTCATTTCCACACAGAGTATCTCGCTAATACGACCTGGAAAGTCAGCAATATCAATTTGTATTTGTCATTTTGGTGGCTGTGAATTCGTGTAGCCGCCATTCTTAGGTCCACCACAGATGTCATTACCCCGCTCGAACTGCAGTCTTGGCACATTGGGAGTGAGGCTGAATTCTCAGTTAGAATCGTAAGTTGTATTGAGCATGACCATTAGCTTCATTGGTAGGCCTAGCAAATGCCGAGCCAACAGTGAAAAATCCCATTTAGGAAGGTAGGTTCTGGTCGCAAATATCTGTCTGATGGCTGCAAGGTCGTACTACAGCTACTATCCTAAGGCCAGATGTCATGATAAACTTGGCAAGCTTAAGTTTGGGCTGGACCCTGAGCTGCAGCATAATCTGATAATAATAAATTTTACTAACCTTGAACTGTCGAAGTAACCCAAAGAAGCAGTCCCGATGACCCTTTGGACGCAGAAGAGAGGGACACAGCGTATCATAGGGTCACTTGCTACCCGTGCGACTAGTGATGAATCCATTTTAGTAAACACTAGCTATAAGCACACAAGGAGGTACCCAGAAACGGTGCAATCAGGTTGCATTCCGAATCTCCGAGAGGCGTCCGAGGCGTCCGGGTCCGGGCCGTTAACCCTGCATGAAAAATGTAGGTAGTTAGGCAATCAATAATCGACGCGATTACTATGGGTCGTAACCAAATGCCGAGTGGCCATACAGCGCTCAAAGTGCCGTGCGGAATTGGAGTTATTCTCTCTTGTGTGCCTTCCTCAGCCTCAACGCCCTTCCCCGCACGGCGATCAGATACCTTGGTGGACCCTTGCAGTTGTGCCTTTATGAATTCATTTGTTGCTTCCGGAGCTATGACTTGCACGAGGCTGAAGGGCAAATCGGGTAGGTGACAACGTTGATCGGCCACTTGTTCAAGTTTGCTGCATAACGATGACGTTGCTTCTCTTGGTACTGGTGGTGGTCTTTGGTAATTCGACTTTATGTCATTATCAAAGGTCTACCATAAGCTACCATTTGACAGCATCGATGGTCTAGTAGGGCATAGGCAAAGTACTTTCTGTGGATTAGAAAAGAAGCCAACGTATAGTATCGGATGCCCGAGGCAATGACACGATATCAGCTAATGTCGCTCTTCTCCACCAGCAAATTCCAAATCTCATAGCTAGTGCTGAGACTTCGTATCGACGAATAAGAAGTCTTAAATTATATACTCCATGTACGAGGTGGTATTCTCACATGGTGGGCACGAATATGCCGCATACCCGTGGCATTCCGATTGTGACGATGATCGCACATAGAGAATGATCCTCAGGAAATTATCAGCAGTGTGCTATATTGCCTTAATCTCTTACGGATAGTTATGGCGTAGTGGAAGTGTGTCTTCATTGCTATTCTTTAAGGAAAAGCCTTTGTTTGACTGATACAAATATGCACCTTGATGGTCTCTTTGAACTTGATGTAAATCATTTATAGTCATCTTCATTAACAGTAAAGCGCATAGCTAGCATGAAGGGCGCGGATACATTCTTGGTGCGGTACCTGGCTCGAATATCACGATAGAAGCCACGTCTCAAAGCCAAGCAGTCCTAACCTCTTAATCTGTCAGTACGAAAAAGGCATGCCGGGGTATACTTCGGGGTGCAGTTCCCGCCCGACACTTGAAGATTTTGATAATGTAAAATGAATTGAGTTTGTATACTGACTCGCATATGAGAAAACCAAATGAGCCTCATATGCCCAGCCCATTTGCTATATGCTGACAGTGCCTGAGCCACCACTATAGTAGTCGAGGATGGCTAAATTCTGCTTTCCCATTAGCTCATGACCATGAAGAACGTCAATACCAGACGTACGAGGTACCTTGACAGGCAGCCGCACTATCCAGAGCTGATAATAATCAATGCACTGAGTGAGTTTAGCGGGTGATATTGGACGCCTTAACCCTGACATCTTGGAGGGAAGAAAGACACAGCCTAGTCATATGTGTGTCGATCAGAAGCAGTCATGGGGCATGCTGACCAGGATGCTACACTTATCTCTGAAATGGGAAGACAGCCTTATCACAGTAGCAAGAAGAGTCCCAAAATCTATAAATGCAGCCATCATTCCGGCCATCAAGCTCCAATTTCAACTCAAGTCTTCAAGCCTTGACGACGACTACCTCAATAATCCAACGAATCCTTACCACCTAACTCATATATCTCACTTCATAACATCCATCAACATGCGCTTCGTTACTCTTATCTTTGCTGCCCTCGCCGCTGGCCCTCTGGCTGCCCTCGCCGCTCCTGCACCTGCAGACAATGCAGCAAGCGAGAAAAGCTGCCCATCTGGCGACAAGATTAACTGCGGAGTGAGTTTTATATTCAAGTCTTCTTGTTGCCCTCTTGCTTCAGATATCGAGCTGCAGATATTGATGTCCATTGACAGGGCTGCAATGGCACCAGCTGCCAAATCGGATTCAACAACTAGTGAGTTTCACCACCGAGATTGCATCTTTCATGAAAAATACTCGTGAACGAAGAGCACACACTGACAGTAGTGGTCCCTATATAGTCCCTGTGATGAGGGCAGTGTATGTTATAGACACCCAGTTTCGCTCAGTCGGGCCCTACCTACCTACTATATCCATGAACTTTTCATCCTCAATTTTGTTTTAACTTTGCTGACAATTTTTTCTTAATCACAGTGCACTGCCCAGAGTGGAGGTGGTGATGGGAAGGACTGCTGGGATAACAACTACGGTGGAACCAGACACGTCGTTTGCCCCGGAAAAGCTTGAGCTAGATCTGATATATGCTCTGAGTCAGAGGAACTCCCCATGGTATACTACAGTATCTAGGAGGATGATCTCGTGGTGGTATGGGTGGTATTGAATGGGGCCTGGTTGTAATTGAGGGCATGCCCGAGGTTTGACGTCTCTGTTGCAAATGTTTTTCATGAGTTTACGATCTGTTAAGAGGCAAGAGGTCAATGGCGCCAGCTTCTTGTCCTATTTGAAACGCTCTTTATGAATTCTATGAGTTGTCTTTATGCCAATCAAGTGCCTGTTTTGAACCCGTATGATGTGCAACGAGTAAACGTAACCGCAAACAATATCTTTCAAGGGTTACTACTCGTGTTAAATTATGATACACCACCTCTACTTCAGTCTCGATTGAACATGACATGACGTAAAGGGCAGGTTCGGGGTTTACAATCAAGAACTCTGTCCGCTGGTTTCCTCCCAGTTAGACCCAGTTATGTAGACACGAAGGCGGCTTGGACACCGACGTTCAATAGTACTACTCTGTTGGCGCCCGCTATTTGGACTTCATCTATAGAGTATGGTCGGACGAAATAAAAGTAACTTAACTGAAACTGGCCCTGCCCTACAGCCAGGCTAGGCAATTAATCGATTGCCACATATTTTGTTCATTTGTGACGCTTAATGATTCACAAATCTACTATACGAAGGTTACACTTAGTCGGACGGGTCGAGCTTGCCGCATCCCCATCGGCCCCACCGGCTCCGCCGGTTGCATGGGGTATCGCCACCTTGGTTCCTATATTACCGAGAAAATAAGACTATAAGTTTACTACTACCGATACATGAACTGGGTGTATCAGTGACATCAGCATCTACACTTTATACAGCTTTTTCACAAACATAGGTTCCCGCGAAAATTTCGGTTTATACCCTCTCTTCCAAAATGAGCACCGCTGGACCTAAGTATGAGACATTTGAGACCGACGTCGACGGATATACCCGTATCAAAAACATATACATACCCATGCGCGATGGGATTGAGCTTTGCGCCGATGTGTTTCTCCCTTTGACCGCATCGAAAATTGGAGAGAAGGCGCCTGTGATTTGCAGCATGGGTCCTTATGGGAAGGACAACCATGCCTCTACGTTTGGACTCCCTCATTCGCCTATTTATGCAGAAATGTATAAGCACATCAAGCCACTGGGCCCCGATGCTTGCTTTGAATTATGTGATCCATCTATCTGGGTACGAGACACCCCATTACTAGGCTAAACTTCCCTTGTGCTTATTTCCTACCCTTTAGTGCAAAGAGTACAATTATGCGTTGGTTCGTGTTGACAGCCGTGGCATTGGCGGCAGCCAAGGGAAGCTTGACCCTTTCGGCTTGGAAAGATCAGTGCAGATTCAAGCAGATGCAGAGGGACAAGGTATTGATCTCCACTCACTACAGATCCATATGGCTAATTCGGATCCTCTTACTCCCTCAGATCTCTACGATATCGTCGAATGGGCTGCCGTTCAGCCATGGTCATCCGGAAAAGTGGCATACTCCGGAATCAGTTACTACGGAATGGTAGGATATTGGGCCGCGATGCAAAAGCCACCCCACTTAAGCTGCGTCGTATCATACGAGTCTGCATGCGATATGTACCAAGCGTCAAGACGAGGCGGTATCTACAGTGACAATTTCCAATCTCATTGGTACCGGAACCTAGTCATCCCGTATCAAGGAGGGAAGAAAGAGGGTCACATAGGAGAAGCAGAATTTGCAGCCAACCGGGTTGACTTTCCAAAGTTGCTCGCAGAGACTGAGTATCCCACCGATGGTGTCTGGAAGGTTTTGAAAAGAGTTCGCAATCTTTCCGATATTGAGGTCCCATTCTATCTTGCTGGAAATTGGACGGATGCTGAGCTTCATTTACCTGGCAATATTCGGGCCTTTAACGCCATCTCGTCAGAGTACAAGTGGCTTGAAATGCATACTGGAAATCATATAAGTGCGTTCTATGAGCCGGCGCATCTGGAAATGCAGAGAAAATTCTTGGACTTCTTCCTCTTCGGCAAGGATAATGACATGCTTGATGTTCCTCGCATTAGACTTCTTCAACACCACGGCACAAGCACCTTTTATCGTGAGAACGAAACATCCTTTCCTCCAGCTGATGCGGAATATGTGCCCTTTTACTTCACCCCAGAGAAAAGAATCGCCCCTAACAAACCAACCGGCCCAAAGACCTCCTTTAAATATGAAGGCTACAGCGAGAACCTCCACTTCTCCCTCGAAAGCCCATTCCCCGAGTCCTTCGAACTACTAGGCTCACCATACCTAGAGCTTGAGGTCAGCACTACAGCCGAAGACATGGACATCTTCATCTATCTACGCGCAATAAATGCAGAGGGTGAGAATATCATTCTACACGGCAACCACGGCGAACCGATGGACACTTTTGCAAGAGGCTACTTCCGTCTTTCTCATCGTGATGAAGTCGCCAAAGGTTTCATTGAAGATAAGGTCATTTCACAACCAGCTGTTGCCAAGTCGGAGGTCGTTCCGGGCCAGGTTTACTCTGTGCTCATTCCTTTGTATCCTGCTGCATTTCTGTTTGATCAGGGCCAGTCACTCAGCATTGAGATTGGGTCGGTGGATACCGCCAGTACTATTGGACCTATGCGACATGAGGGCGGAGATCGAGTGAAGGGGAGATTTTCTGGGGATAACGTCATTATTTCTCATGGGAAGTTGGTTCTTCCTCGGCTGAGACGGTGATATGTGTCTTCGATGTTGGATTGGTCATTTACTTGTCAATATATATAAATAGGACTATTATTTATGAATCTTGAGTCGGCATATGTTGATAGATGAGTAGATAGTACTACACGGGTTGTCCAATTGTGTGTGATAGCTTACTTGCGCTGGTCATTTCTAGAGTCCATGTTGAATGGCTATGCCTCGATCTCCAAAAACTACGCTATCAGGAATCTAGGCGTTCCAGAAGACACAGTATTTAGCCGCGTGAGCGCTTCAGTTTACTGTGAGGGGGAAAAAAAGCAAATGAAAAAGAAAGAAAATTTGATAGCTAGCATGTTGAACACTAAGTAACACTAAGGGTTCCTCCCACGCTGTAAGCACAACTATATGTCAGTACAGAGCAGTATACTTCGCGATACACACCCTAACCATAGCGCAATTCTGATTCCATCTTAAAGGGCTGTCTTTTCGGATCAAACTGCCAAGCGTCAGCCATTTTCATCACAACCAAGCCCTTAGAGCAACGCAACAACTTACCTCAATTCCCTCACTCTGATCCAACACAACAGCACGCTCACCAAACCCGATCCAAGTTGCTGGTAGATCCAATATTCCAGCATTCTCAGCTTCAAATATTCCCTGAACCTTCCGCACAGCACTAACCGACTCCTTCCCCCGTAGCACAATCATAAACGCATAATAAGCAGGAACCGACCTCCCACCCCGAAAGTAAGCACTAAGATCAAAGCCCACCTCAGTAGGAACATTAACCACCAACTCTAGCACTTCATGAGAGGCATGTTGCTTGAGAAGAGATGCGAACTTATCGATCATATCTCCATTCTTTTCCCCGGAATGCTGCGCATCACTTAACGCGACAAAGTACATGCCAACGAAAGAACGCTCCCGTGTTGAAATCGCCGACTCAATAGCTGTCAATGGAACCACCTCCTCTTTAACAAACATAGGCATCACAACACTAAAATCCGAGAAGTTCGCTCCATCAGGTCCTACTTTGGTCCTGGCCCACTCAGAAACAAAGCTCTGAATCATGTGTTCCTCCGAAGAGAAATAGAGCTCTGTGAGACCATCATTGAAGGCCCATGTTGGGTTGGCGTTCGGTATTTTTTGAGATGGGTCGACGTGGTATGCGGTGTCGAGGAAGTGGGTTTGGAAATATTTCCTGGCTTGGATGTAAGTGGGGTGTCTTTGTGTGTGTTTGTCTGGATGGGGGAGGGTAAATAACATACAAGGGCGTTTCAGATGGACTAGGGCCTTTACTTAGGGCCCCATGTACTCGGTAGTGGTAATCGAAGAATTCTTCTCTTGTCAAGCCGGCTTTTCGCCGCAGGGCGATTAGTTGTTTGATGATGGGCATCTTGGGTACGTGTGGGTAATGGGATTGTGGGACATGTATTTTTTGGGTCGGGTGGTATGACCAGGCGGGTGGTATTTATTCATTACATGCTCTTGAGGCCGTAGATAATGGAGCTACAATGGTGTAGAGGCGAAACGTCCACGGTCTACGAACGTTACTCGTCAAGCGGGCGCTGCCGATGGAGCCGGTGGGGATATTTCTCGGCTTTGCCGATGGGGTTTGCCGCAACGGGGCCGCCTGTGTACTGGGCCGATGGCGGGGTGCCGGCAAGGAAGTCATGATCAACTAACTTAACAGTATAGTTCCACGATTACGCAGAGAGGCTCCAATTTCTATAGGTTTCTTGTCGGGTGGAGAAGGCGGGATGACGTGGTGACCAGAGGTTTGCTCCGACGGGGAAGGTCTGAGGCGCTCAACTGTACAGTATGAATAGCCCTTGAGATTTTTCATCCGTATTATCTACATCTACCCTTGCATTAGTCAATCTGCGCTTGACCGAGCTACCCTACAATGCCTCCTGAAGACGAGAACACAGCTCTGTACGTCGATGAAGGGGTGAACTTCTCAGTCCAACGAGACCAGGAAATCCCTACTCCAGCTGATGATGAAATCCTTATCGAAACGCAATTTTCTGGAACCAATCCCGCTGATATCAAGCATGCCACGCTCCTAGGCATTTATCCCGCAGTCCTTGGATATGACTTTTGCGGCACAGTGCTCAAGGCTCCTCCCAGTTCAGCATTTCAGCCAGGAGACCTAGTTGCTGGATACACACCCACTGGAATAAACCGACCGCCCCGATACGGTACCCATCAACGATACTTGGCATGTCCCGAGGATATGGTCTTCCCAGTCCCTGCAGCACTCCCACCACACCATGCTGCGAGTTTGACGGTGGTGGCCATGACTGCTGCGGATGCTATATTTAATATCTTCAACCTCCCTCTGCCACGGCATGACAATCAAGCGAGAACTACGAAGCCCTTGTTAATTTGGGGCGCCTCATCGAGCGTTGGTCTTTGTGCTCTCCAGCTCGCTCGTGCAAGTGGTATTCATCCGATTATCGTCACTGCTTCCCCAGAGAGACATTCCCTACTACAGGAGCTCGGAGCCACTCGCTGCTTTGACTACAAGTCTTCCAGTGTTATTTCGGATATTAAAGCGACCGTGAGAGATTCTCAGTGGGGTCCATTGACATGCGGATTTGATGCAGTGGGGAGCCAAAAGGGAGGTGTCGGCTCCGCACAGCTAGTTGCTGAGTGCTGTTCGGAGGATGCAACGCTTGTATCTGTTGTTGTTCAGAGTGACTCCAAATTCAAGATGCCTATTGCCACGCCGAACATGGATGTAGTTATCAAGGTCCAGAATGTGCCATTTCCGATCACGATCCCTGCAAGACCGGCAGGTTATCAGCGTGCGTGGTGTGCGCTGACCTGGGCTGTGGAGAATTATGGTGTTGATTTTCGACTTCCTTCTGTCGATTTATTTGAAGGGACGGCAGAAGAGGCGTTAGAGGAGTTGAAAGCGATAGCAGATGGAGGAAGGTTTGGGAAGCTAGCGTTAAAGCATCCACTACAGTAGAGTTGCGATTAGGCATCTGAAATTAGTCGATCGACTTGTATAACTCTGTGTAATCAGAATATATTTCAAGCTCAGCAATACTAATAAGTGGAACTTCATTACCAAAATAATGATGTATCATCGAACAAGGCCATATAGTTATTGGATGTTGCTGTTTACCTCGGTTGAAAGCGATGAATGAGAGAATGTGGGGTGGCGGGATGTGGAGGCTTGCGTCAGTGAACCCGGACTCGTACGGCTCGTGGTTTCCGAGTCTGCAACTGGTCCTCCTACTTCACCAACCCAGCATCTGTACTCGAGTATGGAAGCCCCGACAGCAGATGGGCCGGACCCGTCGGGAAGATGGGCGTGTGAATTCTGTCCAGAGAGCTTTGCTCGAAAAGAGCATCTTCAACGACATGAATTCAGCCATCTCGGATTGAAGCCGTTTCGATGCGACGTGTGTTCTCGCATGTTTTCTAGAAGGTTTGTATCCTCATCATATAGCTAATCTCACTGATATATCATTGAGAATATTAACTGTTGCAGGGATACTCTGAGGAAACATCAAGCCACTCATTCGAGAGAAAGTGATGGTGAAGAACCACCTTGCACCCGCAATCGTCGGCGGTCCCAAAAAGCATGCCTGAATTGTGCCAAGGCAAAGCAACGCTGCAATGGCAAGTCGCCGTGTCGTAGATGTGTTAAGCGAAACATACAATGTGCATTTCCAAAAGCAATCTCTACACTGGAGGATCCTCCACTATTAGAGACGCCGGAGTTTATTCATTCTACGCTCCTCCTGGATGACAATCCTACACTCATCTCAAGTGGCAGTGGCGATCATGCCACCTTCGACGAACATCATGTACGATCATTCGAAGACTTGGCAGCTACTACGAGATCTGACGAGCAACATCGAGAAGATCTCAGCATGTACCTTGCCGGTCACCCCGGTGAGAACGCTATCCATCCACATGTGTTATCACTACCTAGCCAAGGGTTAGGCGACGCCATGGCAGTGGACATGAGCATAAGTCTACCGTCAGGAGGATCAGTCACTTCAATCTCCACCCGGGAAGATAACGATGAACTTCCCTCGTCGCAAAGTGATTTCTCCATGCCAGAAGAGCCTCATGCTCATCGTTTCTGCTGCACTCTGTTTCCAGAGACTCGGCCAGATGAAGACGTAATTGCAGCTGAGAATTGTGGGCATGTTAGACCCATAGCAGACAATCTATATCGACAGATCTGTGATTTCTGGAAGAGCCAGCAATGTTCCTCGTGTGCATCACCTTTCATCAGCCTTTCCTTCTTGAACGCGATGGTCCAGCTCTACTTCGAGCACCATGACCCCTGGATGTCTTTCATTCATCCGTCATCTTTCGACACAGAAGACGCCTCATGGGTTCTTATATTAGCGGTGGCATCTATCGGGTGCCAATACTCTAATGTGGAGCGTTCGGAGCTTTATGTTTTAGGTCTACAGGACCTTCTACAGAAGGCGCTTCCGAAGGATGTAAGTTGCCTTAACTTCACTATCTGCTTCAGTGTAGCTGACTCGCTAGGCCACGGAAACTATTGCCCTTGACCAGATGACACTTGCACAGTGTCTTCTTCTACGCAATACAGCTCTCCTGTTCAGCGGTTACGAAGATGAGATTCTTACGTCTCAGTACCAGAGGAACATGCTCACTTCAGTGGCTAAATCAGTTTCTGCCAACGTTGCTGAAAGTATACCTTCTCTAGATGATTTGGACCCATATGAAAGGTGGCGTCGCTGGGTGGGGTTAGAGTCTCAGAGAAGAGTTGTCTACTGCATTTACGGTGAGAACACTTGATAGTACCTCGGCATCACATGACTTATTTGAACGATACAGTGATCGAATGCTGCTATTGGATATTCAAAGATGCCCCTTCATCAATGACTCTCGACGATTTCAAGATAGCTCTTCCATGCCGAGACAAGTTATGGACATCCAATTTCGAACAATGGCAGGAATGTCTACCAACAAGACCAGGTGAGCAGCCATTAAACCAACTATTTCATTACTTTGCTTTTCTATTATTTCATCTCCAACTTCGAGAGATCTAACCTAGTATAGAATCAAAAGACAGGCCGAGTCTGAAAACCGCATTTTCTAACCCAGACTTACTCGACAACCTCCTCAACGACAACTCCGGCCTCAGCAACCTAGTAATACTTCTAACATTCAACGTCGAAGAAAGGCGCCTCTTACGATCCACCCAGCCATGGTTCGCAGCCGACATGGCCACAGGCCTCAACGAGCGGAAGCTATATAAATGGCCGGACGAACTAGTATCCTTCCGAACAGCTCTAGACGATAAATGCGACCCTACAATCAAACGTTTCTCTATGCTCACACCCATAGTAAACAATGCACCTACCTTCCTGAAAGTGATGTTCCACGTCACCAACATACTCCGACGCACACCACTACGCTGTCTATACGCCTTGAGCGGATGGCAAGTCACAGTGGACCAGATGACCGCCGCTGCTACATCCCTATCACACTGGATGCAGCAGAATCCGACACTAGCCCGAGAAGCCCTTCTACAGGCGACTACGTTATTTGGAGTTCTCTATGACGAGACCACAGGACCAGGGAGTCACCACTTGGCCTTTCTCACCGCGGGTCTCTATATCTGGGCGTATTGTATCGTGGGCGGAGAAGACAGCGCTACAGGAGCGAACGGAACACGGAAAATCAGTCAACGCCCGCTGAGACCTGATAAAGGTGTCCCAGATGATGTGAAAAACTCCTGGATCCAAAGCACCCTTGAAGCTCCTGTATATGTCAAAGGAGTGGGTATTTTGAACGGCCCGGAGAGTGCGATTCGTGTTCTTAAGGGCTTTAGACTCGCCTTGTCGAGCCATAGGTCTTGGCCTTCGCTTCGGCATGGGTTGATATACTCTATTTCGGAGGTCATAGATGGTAGGTTTGCGTCGCTTAGCCCGGAGTTGAAGTCTAGTGGGTGGAGGAAGAACGTGGATAGAGAAACTCGAGCATAGATACACGCGAATGATTCAAAGACATGGGATTTTTTGTCATTGTTCTCATGAGTGGAATTTAGCGGTGCTTTCCGCTCTATGACGCGTCAGGACCGAACAGCAGCTTGACTCGCGCAGACACAATACAATGTCCATCCTCCTTTCGATTTATTCTAACTATAAACATTTGCGCATCCCCTTCCAGTGCTTATATAATGAATGGATGTAAGGGGTAAGATGTTATGCTCCCTGTCGGGTGCAGCGGCCCGATGCACGTCCAGTGCAGGTTGTGTTGATGCAGACCAAAATGGCGCATTGGGGTTTATCGTGCAGACTAATATAATAACTATAAATTGTGAGACTATTTGACGTTCGATGTGTACTTTTTATGACTTATATCTATTGGCATTGGGGGTTTGGTAAAGCATCATGGCTGTTGAGTTAGAGTGCTAAATGCGTGCGGTATTCGGGAGGGAACGCACTGATATATATCTTTACTAAAGGTTACTAGAAGTATTTACCAACTAATCATGCCACACAATAGATTGTCTGCTCACTAGATGCTACTACCAGTAGTCTCTGAACATGCTCAGTAGTAGTACTAATGCCATATGAAAATTTCATGTACATGGATTAGTAGACTACTACTCCTCTATCCCGAGCGTGAAGTTCTGCATCGAGAGCATTCTCAAAGTATCCTCCAGTTCCATGGTATCGTACTCCGTATGTGTAAAGAGCCTCGAGACAGAAATACACGCATCGAGGTTTATCCATCACCATAACAAACTACGTACTGGAATTTGCTTTAATATGAACTACAGATCCAGAAGTAAAGATCAATTCATATTGTCCTAAGGGCTACTACTTTACTACAAAGAATGGTTAGGGAAACAAGTACATCGTAACTCTCAAGTTCACATTAACTACTAATAATTAAGTGTCCGACCAGTCCATAAACCGAGCCAGCGCTGTGGAACTTTTCGAATCGCTAGGCCGTCCCCCAACCAAAGACAGGTTGTATAAATATATCGAGGTTCAAGCCAATATCCTAGTCATCATACACTCCCTGGGGCTATAAGCCATCTATCGGTAGCAGCGAGCGCTGAGAGCGGGGTTGTGGTGGGCGTGAACGACATCAGGGATGTCGACGGTGACGGGAAGGTTGTCGCCGCCGCAGTTGTGGTCACTATTATCATCTTCGTTAGATATTTGCTCTTTCCGGATTGGGCTTCGAGAAGATGAAAACTCACAAGTAGATGTGGCAGGTAATGCCAGGAACCTGCCTGACGGAGTGAATTTCGCCGGTGACGCTGTATTCGGTCGGACATTAGGAGTTGATCATGGTTGTGTGGTTTGGGGTTGGAGTTACTCACGAAGTGAAGCAAGAAGCATCACCGTCGTTGAAGGTAGGGGGGCCGTGGAAGTAGTCGAGGGGGTAGACGGAGGCCTATGCTTGTCTTAGTATATCCAAAATCGAAATGCATTGGTTCAAATGGGATGGATGTTACCTCGATGTTCTCCTGAGCAGCGTTGTCCGCAGCCAGAGCGGGGACAATGGCCGCGACGGCCAGAGAAAGGAAGGTAGTGAATTGCATTTTGATTGTTTTGGAAGAGATGTGTTGGCTGCTAGACTGCTTTACCGTTGATGCTGCTGATGGATGAAGAGAGATATTGTGGTCATCCAGCTGGATTTTATATTCAATTCTTCAAGGGAGAGAAGGAGGAAATAAGCGAAGGCGTTGGCATCTTCATAGCATGCCTGGATATAGCTGCGTGGGGTGCATGCATGGCTTGATTGGATTGTGCCTGGATACTCCGGGCAAGTAATTTCCGCAGTAAGGTATTGGTGGGGAACTATTTCTTCAGGGCGGAATGAGGGATACTACGCCGTGTGGCTGTTTGTTGTTGAGGTTGTTGTTGACGCGCCCTTGATTGAGTTAGCTAGGGGGCGTTCCTTGAACGCGGGGATTATCCGCGTGTCAGGGTTAGTTAGATTTGTGGTGGTATAAGGGATGTATGGAATGTGGGTTCATTTTCCCGGGGTATTCGGTCCCTTGATCGGGATGGCCGCTGGGTATGCTGTGAAGGAGGAGTGTGCATTTATTGAGATCTATTTTGGATGGACTGGGGTATAGACAATGCTAATATTATTATTCAGGGTTGTCGATCCGTACCACTTACATAATGTAATTGGCATTGAACAAGGTGGTAATGTGGTTCTGTGTGACTGTGTTCCCTGATCGTGTTCCGCTTTCTATTTCGGCATTCTATCTTAGATGGACATTGGCGTCTGGGGAATGATCGAGATTTGTGGTTCAAACTATTGAGTCATGCATCTCATTTTGTATCACAGGATCGATTGAGTGGTTCAGTCCAGCCGCAAGCTTGCCAGGCTAAGCTATGTATCTGCATGACGGCTTACATGGACCTGACGATCTATTCTACATGCGAACTCCTCCGTATAAACTTCAGAATTATACCAGCATGCATGCCAGCCATATACACAGGAAGCTTGTATAATATGACCATAGCATACTACATTCTGTCCCACTAGCTATACACTGCACTGCAAATCCAAGCCTAACCACGTAAACAAACAAAGGCAGAAAATCATTTCCTAACAGCAACAACAAACAACCTGGGATACCTCAACATCACTCTCCCATCGGCCCTCTTCTCATACTTCTCCTTCAACAATCCCTCATACACCCTCAAAAACTCATTCCGTTCCTCCTCCCCCCTCAAGCCATCCAAATACGGCCTCAACCCCGTCCCCTTCACCCACTCGACAATGTCCCTCCAATCCCCAAGGGAATGATAGTACACAGTCTCCCAGATCCTCAAACTCTCACAAACGTCCACCAGCGCATCATAAATCTCCTCAGGGGTATCCAACTCATCTCTCTCCACAAGCGTACTCCGTAGATGTTCCGCCCAGGACCCCGTCCTCGCGACCTCCCGCATAGAAGTATGCGATGGCAGGTTCAAGGTATCAGGGACCTGGAAGGCGAAGACGCCGCCCGGGGGAAGAGTCAGTAGGAGTCTGCGGATAGTAGGGAGACGAGTGGAGCGGGGAAGCCAGTGGAGGACGGCATTGGAGAAGAAGAGATCTACGGGGTGGTCTGGTGGGGGAGAGTAGGATTCCACGTCGGCGACGGCGAAGGTGGTGTTTGATGTAGACGTAGATGACTCCTTGGCGCGAGCGATCATGTTTGGGGAGGAATCGATGCCGGCGATGCTCGGGCAGGATGGGTAGCGGGCGGAAAGCATGGCGGTGGAGTTTCCGGGGCCGCAGCCAAGATCGACGATGTGGGAGGGAGATTGCAATGGGATGTGTGATAGCAGATCTTGGGTGGGGATGGCGCGCTCGTCGGCGAATTTGAGGTATTGGGTTGCGCTCCAGTCGGACATTTTGGCGGGGTGGGTGAGGAGTTGGGTGATTCGCTGGGGAGTGAGTGGAAGACGAGGACGGAACATTGATGATTTGATAGCTACTCGATTTGAATGGATGTGTTGGTGTTGATGTATTATAAGAAGTATTTATATCTGGTTATATTTGATGTGAGGTATATAAGTGGGAGATGATGTTACTATGGAAGTGGTTGTTGAAAGTGCCGGTTTCGGCGGAAACATGATTGGCCTTCCGTTTGAGTATCACGGGATAGGAACATTCTTCGGTCAGATCCTGCTTACTTTTACTCTTGCTTATTGCACTGATATCATCTTATGCTGTCAATCCGGAAGGCGCGGGTACTTGACTGTAAAAATGTACAGAAATCGGATCAACAATCTCGTCGGGCCTTCCACAACCCGCACGTGACAACGCGTTGCCGCTGCCCATACATGGGAAGATTGGAGGTAACAACTTCAAGCGGGATAGTAGATATTCCTCAATAATCTATCGCTGAATTAATACACTATGAGAGGCATGGCATACGGTACTTCCTGTTGCAGATTACTGGAATAACCTCGTTATAGCATTGTCCATATATAATTCATCCTACCAGCGAGCAGCTGTATTATGAACAATCGAACCTTTTAAGTAAAACATGACGATGCCACGATGAGAACAGCACACAAACCAAAGCAGACGCAGTCAGCATTGCCAACCCTAAATATAATCACAACCCCATAGAGCACTATTAATAGGTGACAGATTATACACATTATGCAGTCAGCATTACCTAAGTTATACATAAGCATCTCCAACACCGATTCGTTCAAGCACCCCCAAAAGTAACTAACCAAGAACAGCAACTGAATACAAACAATCATCTGAACCATAACACAAGCCTATAAGCCTACCACCCATGCATCTAACTGCGGGGTAAGCTCACACTTGCAGGATAAGCAAGAGCTGTCAATGAAACAAAGCTCCCTTAGTCTTAGCAGTCCGAGCATCTCCATGACAAGGATCCCTGGTTCAGATCCGATGACCACAGACACACTCGAGTCCTGCCTCATTTACTACCAGCAGTAACTGACTCGTACGTCCATCTTCGCTACTTTTTCCTAGTATGTATGTACAATATGACACAATAATGAATAAAATCCAGAGCGTTCCCCCTTACACTACAAGTACACAAGCTCAAAATTCCCAGTTCCCCCCTACCCACCCATCCCCTCGTATCAAACATTCCAGAACACCAATCGAATTCCAATTATACTTTGCATATGACCTGTCATTTTTCAGACTACAGCTAAAGTAACTTAAGCGGAAATAGCTCCCGTTTACTTCTTACGAAGCAGAAGAAAACGATGGTAGGCTAACCCGAAGCAGAACCAGAGATGAAAGAGAAGCAAGCAAGTACCGTACCCCAAACACGAACAAACCACAACCTAGAAGCAGCAGCAGCAGCAGCAAGCAGCAAGTAAACTCAAATCTGAGACATTCGACGAACAGTATTGGGAACAACTGTATGCTGCATACTACATCCAAAACTTACCGTCGGCGAGGCCGATAGTCTAGTCTAGATCATCAGTCATCTGCTTTCACCCTCACCCTCTCTCTCTCCCTCTTCGATTTCCCAATAGTAGATTGAATGTATGAATACCCAATTAGATAATAAACACCTGCTATCGCCTCATCCACAAACCCGTATAACTATTACATAATACACCGGTGGCAGTGTTTTTATGTCATTATGAAAAATGAACCACGGATAATTATCCACATTGAGTATCTGCTCCTAACCTTGACAAGCAGGTATGAAATCTCATTTTCTGAAATATGATTGGTCTGTCGGTGTTGTCCGAGTTCCCACCCCAGCGCCCCCCTGTCAAAGTGGAGAAGGTATTTCGTAGGCGGTGAGGAGAGTGTAAACTGACTTTGTAAACCTTGTTTCAAGAGAAATCCTGCTGGTGCTGGAGCCTAGATACATCCATTGGTTTAGTCTACTCTGCAGGCGTATGAGTTGTACGATAGTACTAAAGAATGGTTGTAAAATGCAATGCAATGTGCCAATCACAATCTATATACGCTAACACACATATGAACATTGGGTATCCCAATCCAATCATCACAATAGTAAGAAGAAAAAAAACTAGTTAGAAGCATCCTCATGCAACCGCACCGTCACATTATCTCCCGGCGCATTCGTCAAACTCATCTGCATCGTGATCTCCCCTTCCTTGGTCTTGCCCACGCCCTCAATCACATCGAAGCGCTGCAACAGTCTCACCAACACATAGCCAGTCTCGGTCAACGCAAACTGCTGCCCAATGCAGATCCGCGGCCCACCGTTGAACGGCAGGTACTCCCATCCGGCCTTGCGCTCGTTCCAGCGATCCGGACGGAACTCGTCAGCATCGGCGCCCCACAGATCAGGCCGACGGTGCATCACGTAGGTGCTGTAGAAGACGGGCTGGCCCTTCTTGACGTAGACGGGGTCCGTGCCCGCGGGACCACCGCCCGTGGGGAGGGTGGTGTTGCGGACGGCTGTCCGACGGTTACCAGGGACAATGGGGTAGAGACGGAGAACTTCATTCAGGAAGTTCTGCAGGGGACGGCAGGACTTGAGGTTGGCGAAGGTGATGTCATGAGGGGAGGAGTAGGAGCCGAATTCCGCGAGGATGGTGGCGCGCAGGGAGTTGAAGTAGTCCGGGTGGCGGGCGAGGAAGAGGATGCACCACGACAGGAGAGAGGCAGTGGTATCGCGACCGGCGAGGAGGATGTTGAGGAGCTGGGAGCGCAGTTCGACGGGGTCGCGGGTGGCTTCGGCCAGACCGTGCAGGAAGACGTAGTGGCCGGTGGGTTTCTTCTCCGGGTCGGAGTTGAGAGCGGCGGAGACGAAGCGGTCGACGTAGGCGTGCACGGCTTTGTTGATGGCGCGGCTTTCCTTGTTGTTCACGGTCCAGTAGAGCTTCTCGAAGCGAGCGCGTTGGGCGGAGTACCATTGACCGCGGTCGAATTGGGCAGGGAAGTCATCCTGGGGAATGGCGCCGTTGCTGAGGGCGGCGGCTTGGCTCTGGACACTCTCGCCGAAGAGGAACTCGGTCGCGGTGTCCATGGTCAGGCGGAAGAAGATGGTCTGGATGTCGGTGGCGGCGGTCCAGCCGGTGGTGGCGTCAACGGGCATGGCTCTCATGGCGACTTGGACGTGACGCTCCTCGAGATCGAGGTCGCTGATCTGGTCGCGGGTGAACTGAGGACGGAGGAGAGCGCGAGAGCGAGACCAGTGGTCGCCATCGGCAGTGAACTGGATTCGAGTTAGAAGGGTGATGGTTTGGATAGGGAGGAAGTGGTGGACGTACGATACCGCTGCCTAGCAGCCAGTGCAGAGCGTTGCGACGGGACTGGCCCAGCTCAAAGTCCTTGAACTGAGTGGCCAACAAGGCCTGGACGTTCTTGGGATCGCAGGTGCTGATGACATCGGTGCCCAGCTGACGGAAGTGGAAAGTAGTGGTATAGCGATTCTCGCGGGCGGACATGATGTCAACACGGCGGCGGGTTACTGTGGGCACTTGGCGAGCCTTGTCCATAGCCAAGGCCTCCTTCAGGGTGTTGATACCCAGCACATCACCGGGGTATGAAGGAATACTGCCGCAGTTCCATTTACGAGCATTTTGCGCATGTTGCCAGCGAGAGAGCAGCACATATAGAAGGTAGAGGACGGGGGAGGCCGTTGCGACAAACAAAAGTGTCGACATGGCGAAGGGTGAGGTGGGGGGAAGAGAAGGACAGAAAGATGAAGAGGAAGTGAGGAGAAAAAGCCAAAACTGGCGAGGCAAAGAGGGGTTGATGGAAGTAAATAAATGTACCGGGCGGGAAGTTAGATTCATTTATGTTTCAACTACTAAATTGAATACGATGGAGTATCAGGATGGCCAGCAAACCGAGTGGCCTCCAACCGAGGCAGATCGGACCATCCTCATGATAGAGAAAGCAAAAAAGCAGTATGGACACATCGGACCGTTGGAAAGAAACTTGAGATGATTAGTCGTGGCAGTGGAGTACCGGCGACCCCTAGTCTGAGACCTCGGAGCTTCCAACTGGATGGAAGCAGGAGGCCCGCCATGACAGGCTTCAGGGGTGGAGAAAAGTATCTGGTTTGACCCGAACATATCGCCATCTGTTCATTCTTATTACCGTTGGGTCTGCACAAGCATTCCCCTGGCCTATAGTGCATTACCACTATACCTTCTCTCTAAACGAACAGGGCCAACCGGATTCCAGGCTTACGGGAAAGATGCATCCTGGAGGATGATTAGTATGCAGCCACACTGGTTGGTTCCAACATCACGGCTTTGCATCTACATTGTACTTAGTATGTACTTTGCAGTTTGCACACTATATTAGCCTTGATGGCATTGGGTGTTCCCGGCCCCGTCTTAGGGCATACTCCACTGCATCATTCCCAACCATAACAATCTCATTGTGTGTTCAGTCATCCATTCCCCTTTCTATTATTATGATGATACTTCACAACGTGAACTAGTTATTCATGTTCTGTGGAATGACTCACTCACTCTCTGGTTCCAGGGGTACTGAACCAAGAACCCAAGCACATGCTGTTCCCATGCCAGGTCCGAGGTAGGTTTCACCTACAGAATTAGGCAAATGCAAGTGTTTCTGCCCGCGCTCGACTTCCCAATGCGGTATCTGTGCGTGCCGCTCATTTCGGTCGCCCTGCCGGCACTTTATCTCTGTCCAGCAACACTTCCGATCTCTAACTATGCTAATTTAGAACGTTAGTCACTAAAATCGCTCCATGCTAAATCGACTGGCTGTGATGCTCTCATCCCCACTACACTTTCCGCCGCACCAATCCACGGAAGAAGTCAAAACTGTTACTGTCGCTCTGCAGCTGCCACACCCGGCCCGTCGGCCGGTCATCCCAGCCCAGTTCCTCTGCCAGCAGCAGCCCGTAATCCCGCGTGATCCCCTTAATGCGCGCGCGCACACCCCCCTCTTCCTCCAACGTCACCACCTGGTGCATGTGCAGCCAGTCTGCGTAATACATTTCTTCGAATCCCCGATCGAACCCGGCCCGCAGGAATCGCGTATACAGCTCCTCAAACGTCGTCAGAATGCGCGCCAGCAGCTTCTCCAGTGTGATCGGGGCGGCCCGGGGCCCAAGGAACCGCGCCGCCAGCGCCGTCAACGACGTCGTAGGCGATGCGTTCGTTGCGTTGATGCCAATGCCCACGACCGAGATGTACTCGTTCGCGCAGTAATGCGAGTTCACCAGGATGCCGCAGATTTTCGAGTACTGCTTTTTATCCGGGTTCTCCGGGTCCAGTGCATCTGTCGGCTGATCAGCATCGTCCCAATCTCTCGATCAGATCGTAAGAAAGGATTACTTACACACGTCATTCGGCCACTTCAGCTTGACCGGTAACTCTGAATATCCGACGTCGTAGTTCTTGATTCCCTGCACCACCGCCATCGCTGCCAAATACTGGATAAACACTACTGGTGCTGACTGTATCTTCTCGAGCGGGTGGCGCAGCACCGTTGAGAATATCAGCGCTCCGGCCGGCGACACCCAGACGTTCGATCCGCGGCCGCGGCCTGCCACCTGGGTCGTAGCGCTGGCGGTGAAGCCGTTGGGCAGCTTGCGCAGCAGCTTGGGGTTTCTGACCCGTCAGTCGCGTCTCGCTTCTGTCATCGAACAGGTCTACTTACTTTTCCAAGATCGTGTTCGTGCTGGTGACGACCTCGCCATACACGAGGTGGGAGCCAAACTCGGATGCACCCTCGCGGGACTGCGATTGGTACTGTTGGAGGTTGGAGTAGAAGGCATGGTGATTGAAGTAGGGCGTCAGCTTCGATGATGGCACGTCGTCGTGCACCACCAGTCGCTTGACGATGGCGTTGTAATCCACAATACCCTCCGTAGACTGCGATGACGCTGGGAGAGAGTCCTCCAGCTGGCTCAGGTTCCACGCGCCGGGTCTCTCAATCCGGAACGTGTCATTCTCATCCTTCAGGATCTCCTCATTGCCATCCTTGGTGATGATCTCCTGCCATGACGCCACCAGATCGGCCGTCTCGGCGGGCTCCTGCGAGGACAGATGCAGCGACGACAGCGACGGCACGGTGGTCGTGCTCTGCGTCACCTGCAAGCCCAACTTGACCAGACATGCTTTGAGGAAGTCCGTGCGCGCCTTGTCATCAGCCTCCAGCGCCTCCACGACCTTTGCATATTCGGGGCCACCGGCTTTTTTGTCCAGGTTTGCAGCTGCGAACCTACCAACCATCAGCACACACCACCTAGACTTGTAACCATAGAGGACATATAAATAACTCACTCCGGATGCGGTCCCGTAAGAACAACCTTCCCCTCCCCAACGCGACAAAACACCACGGCGGCCTTCCCCTCCCCCGAGTCAACATTCAAGTCCTCCTCAAAGCTTGCTAGCACCTCCACTCCCTTATCAGCCAAGGTCGGCGCATCCACAAACACCCCACCGCCGTTGTAGTAGCACCTGAATCGCTCCGGCACGATCCCCGCATTTAGGATATCTTTATTCACCGAAATCTCCGCGGCCCTCGCCCCCGCCTCACTATGATAGACGAACCCCGCGAAGGCCCCTCCACGACATGTACCAGGGTAGAAGGCCAGTTCGCGCTCTCCGATAACCTGGAGTGTCTTATCGCCGACTTCGAATTCGCAGCGTCGGGAACCGTAGTACCCGCCCGCGCAGAAACCGAGGTAAGCGCCGCCGCGCTTGACGAATTGTTCGATGCGGCGGTTTCCGGGGCCATTGAGAACGCGACCGTAGCCTAGATCAGCGCCGCCGGGAATGACGAGGAGAGCGCAGGTTGCGGTCCAGGGTTCGCGGAGGAGGGCGTCGGAGGTGACGGGGATGACGGCGTAGTGGGGGGCTAGAAGGCGGCGGAGGGAATAGAGGGTGTGGCGGACGGATTCGATGGTGGTTCCATTGCCTGTAACTCAAGTATGTTATAGTGAGTAGAGGGTATTGTATAATATTGATTGAGTAAGAGTCAATGGGATCGTGGATGGTGAAGCGGGGAGAACAGAGGGGAGAGTGACGCACCGGAATAGACCAGAACGTTGACCTTTTTGCCGGTCATATTGGGGGTCGCCATATTTGCGGCAACTACCTGCAACTCTCTCGGAGCAACCACTCGAACACAAGCAATCAAGCAGTCGGACTGTCAAGCAAGCAAGCACAATGTCGGACCAGGAGAAAAGGGAGAACCCGCCCGTGGAGGTGGAGGACGACGACGACGAGCCGGATGAATGGTGAGTTGTTGGGATGCGAAGATCGGAGGAAGGGAAAAGAGTTGGTTGAGCTGACAGTCCATCCAGGGACAAGCGGATCTTCAGCACCGGCTGTGCAGGTACATTCCCATCTTTTATTCCCTATCCCAAATAAATGCTAAGAAACAATCATAGCGGAGCAAATGAAAATGAATGACTGCTGGTTCGAAAAGAAAGACTGGCGCCAGTGCCAGAGTGAGGTATAACATCCCATCCCATCCATTATCATCTCGCAACCCTCACTCACTAAATTGCATCAGATGGAAACCTTCCGCGAGTGCTGGAAACGCCAGGGCAACGACGAGCGCACACAGACCAAGGATGCTTAACTGATACTGATGCCACAAACCATTTGTACAATAGAATAATACAAGAATTTCCATTCACTTACTTCCACCAAAAGAATATTCAATTGCTCTATCATCACGTGACACTATACAGCTCTGACTTCATTCTTCTTCCCGCTGCACCTTCTCACCACATCCCCAACCACAACACCCCTCCACAGCCCTCTACAATGTCCCTCCCACTTTTAACGCGCTCCCTGCGCGGTCCCCAACTCAGCAAAACCCTCCGCTACTCCCTCACCACTACAACCCGCTACCAATCCACCACCACCACCAACAACAACACCGCGAAACCCGCCACCACCTCCACAACGTCAACAACACCCAAGCCCACCACCTCCTCCTCCACAACAAAAACCACCCCCACCCTAAAAGACCTCCTCGACCACCCCCCATCCCCAGCAAACCCAACCGAAGACCGCATCGACTGGACGCGCTCCTTCCACGGCCTCAGCGCAACCCCCTTCCCGAAAGAATGCGCCGACATCCTGCTCGCCCCGACGGACCCCGAAGAAGTCGAAATCAAACCCGACGGCATCCTCTACCTCCCCGAGATCAAGTATCGCCGGATACTGAATAAGGCGTTTGGACCCGGTGGATGGGGTCTTGTGCCGAGGAGTGAGAGTATTGTTACGCCGAAGATGGTGACGAGGGAGTATGCGCTTGTTTGTAATGGGCGGTTAGTATTTTCCCATTCTTTTTACTTGGAGGGGGGTGTGTGTGTGATATGGGTATGGGAAGTGGTGATAGGCTAATTTGGTTATTGTCTGGTATAGGCTTGTTTCAGTGGCTCGCGGCGAACAGGATTACTTCTCCCCGGATGGAATCCCCACGGCTACGGAGGGATGTCGGTCGAATGCGTTGGTGCGGTGTTGTAAGGATCTAGGCATTGCGAGTGAGTTGTGGGATCCCAGGTGGATTCGCAAGTTCAAGGCGCAGTATACCCGGGAGGCGTTTGTGGAGCATGTGGTGAATAAACGGAAGACGAAGATTTGGGTCAGGAAGGATGATACCGTTGGGTATCCGTGGAAGGAGACCAAGTTTTAGTCTTGCTGTCTCTTTCATTCCAATTTTATTCTATTTCTATGTGGGAGCAAGTCTCATTATGAATACGTGATACACTAAATTCTGTATAACAGGTCAATGTACGATATCATTGCGAATTACATGCTAATAGATCAGTCCACTCATCAAATACTAATAATACATCATATGCAACAATCTAAGTGGCCGTTTTTGCAAGGAAAAGAGGAAAGGAAGAAATCATCATCACTCATGGCTACTGGTTACCCGCTCCCTCGTACGGCCGTCGCGGCACATATCGTCCTGGCTCGGTTTCTGTCAGGTGTGTCGAATGGTGCTCCCGTCCGTCTGGCGTCTGCTGCTCGTGCATCGACGGGAGCTCGAACGGCTGGTTCGGGTCGTACGGGTCCTCCGTTGGGTCATAGTACTGTCCCGGGTAGTTGTAGTACTCGGGCGGCTGCTGAGGCGGCTGGGACATGGCGGCCCCCGCGAGAGGCTGGGGCACTGCGACCTGGGGCAGCGTGGGCTGCGCCTCCTGGCGATGACGGGGAGGGACTGGTTCAGAGAGCACCGGGACATCACCCCGAGGGGCAGCCACGGGCTGGGGCTCGGGTTCAGGCTCGACTTGCGAGGTGCGGCCCTCCTTGCGACGACCCGTTGACGGCTCGCGAGTCATCAATCCGTAGGTCACGTTGAGTTGGCGCTCCTGTCCCGGGGATCCCACGGGTGTCTGGTAGTGGTCGACTTCGTGACCATCGCGGGAGCCGTCTTGCGACCGGGCTGCGTGCTCTGCGGTAAGTCCTTCGCTGTAGGAGCTGGAGGCGCCCATGCCACGACGTTGCAGCGACTGAGGGGAGTTGCCGAGGTCGAAGCCAGTCGAGCGGGATTCAGTGTAAGAGACGCCAGCGGTGGTGTTAGCCCGACGCATGCCTTCGCTGGCGATGGAAACCTGGCGGACGGGGAGAGTTTGGTCTTCGTGTCCAGCATCCGACTTGTTGTCATCCTTCTCGGTTTTGTCATCGTCGTCGTCGCTGGCGCCTGGGGCACGAATAGGTACCTTGCGCACGGCGGAAATCAGTGCGCACATGAACTTCGAGCGACGGGCAGCTCGGACGGCTTCGTTCGACCAGTTGGACTTATGGCAGATCAAGACACTCAGCTCCATCTTGTCCATGTCGCCCAGACCAACCACATCAATGGTGACCTCTGGCTGGAAGTCGCGGCAGTTGTCCTTGTCGCGCACGAAGCTCTCCATCTCCTCCTGGAGAAGCTGGACGTTGGAAAAGGTGGTCTCGAAGCTGACGGGGACGGTGAGGCGCTCATGCATCGCATTGGCACGGGTGAAGTTGTCAATCCATAGGGTGTTGAGGACGACGTTCGGAACTTGCGTGATACGGTGATCGTTGACATTTCGGAACACGGTGAAGAGCAATGAAATGCGCTCGACAAAGTACGGCTTGTCGCTGATTTCCACACGGTCGCCCACATCAAAGGGATGCTTGACGAAGAGGAAGATACACGAACCTAGCACTTCCTGAGCGGTGGTCGAGAAGACGAAACTGAGAGAAAGCAGAGAAGTGGCACCCGCGGCGATAACGGTACCAAAGCCGCTTGTCACGAAAGAAACAAAGACCAGAATAGCAATGATACCCGCCACGGTCAGCAAAAGGTTGTCCAGAACGTGGATTGCCTGGTCAACATCGTGGAGACTGTTGTTCAGCGACTTTCTCAAGCGGCGGACTTCACCGATGGCCAAGATCATCTCTTCTAAGCTGATGTCCCCGTTGCCGTCGCGATCCAGCATGTGGAAACATTCCTCGGCTTCAGCCTCCATGCCAGCTCCCAGGACCTCACAAATATCGTCAAAGTACAAAGCATCGCGGCCTTCAATGACAAAAGACATCCAAATTCTCCGTGCGAGCGCTTCAGACGTCCGTCTGTGTTCCAGAGCCTGGGTGACGACGGACCGAGTGGAAGTGGGGTTGAAAACTTGCTTGCCAGTCAGTTCATGGGCCACGTCGCCAAAAGCCGCCGTGACTTTGTTGCCGAACTGGTGGACATTTTGGCCCACGCCCCGGATGATGCGCAGAGGCGCTGATGAGCTGCCAGAGCGGGTCTTGACGGCTGCGGAGCGGAGAATGGAGTCGGAAATGGCCGCGTCTTCCTCTTGGAATTCTTTGCAGTACATGGGGAACATGTGGCGCGAGGCGTCGAATAGCAGAGCCACCAGATACACATTGCGCTTCGATTCTTTGATGCGAGCATCAAATTGCTTGCGGTGGTAGCTGATCGAGATCAAATGAACCATGGTTTTCTCAGCCAGAAAAATCAAACTGCAGACGAAGAGGGCAAATAGGATGTTTTTGATGGACTTCTCCCAGGATTTGGTAGAGGTATCGCCCTTGGCTTGCTGATGGGGGTTTTGCGTCATGACCTGGAGGAAGTTAGTTGATGGCACGTATGATAGAATCAGACTAGACTTACAGGCAAAAAGGTGACCAAGCACACCACGCACCACAGCACGGTTGCAATTGGCATTTCCAGTTTGCGTAGAATGAGAGCATATTTGCGAGTTCCTGAACTCACGAACCCGATAAGGGTCTGAAAGATGTACGGCAAGAGTTTGGCCGCAAGTTTACACAACCACAGACTGATCCAGACGATCTCAATCCAGAACCAGAACCACGGCAGTGTAACTCCGCCGATAGTCGCGTCCTGCGCGACCGTTGCTCCCACGATAATTGGGATGGCGAGGAGAATTGCGAGCGGGGCGACGTAGATGAAGTAGCGAGTGAGAACAGAGTAGTTGAGAATGGCCTGGTAGAAGCGGCCCATGCGAGTGACGGTGCCATCCTCCGGGTCTTCTAGGGAACGTCCGGTGCCTTCGTCGATGCGTCTGCGCATGCCGGGATTTGGCGCGACCAAACCCTCTTTCTCGCCGTCAATGCCTTTATCATCGCCGGGTGGTTGATACGGATTCGGCGATCCTCCCACATTACTACTTGTCTTGCGAGCGCCGGTCTGATTCCGACTGGGAACCGGGTTCAAGGGGATGTCAATAGTGACGTCGTTGGGATTCATCATGTTGTCCGGGGCCATGTCGGGAAGCTGCTGGAAGCGATGAGCCGACAGCCGCTTCTCCGTGATACCAGGTCTGCCGGACATGAATTTTGAAAATGGCATTGGGAATGAACTAGGGAAAGAGACGGTCTAAAAAGTAAGGCCAGAAGCTGCCCTGCAGCTCCAATTAGCGAGCGATGTCGCAATTGGTCGGCTTAACTTCCAGGGACGTAAGATCGCTTTGCACAGTCCAGGCAGGATCTGACAATCACTGGGTGAATGAGTGTTGGAGTCCACTGGTTCGTGTGGAGAGCGGGTGGGTCAAGCGAAAGTAAAACCGCATGGACTGGACCAGGACTTGAGACGTTAGTTGGTGAATTGGAGCGGCAGCGAACGGACGTATATTTTGTTTGTCAAAGGATCGGGAATAGGTGGAAAAGAGAAAGAGAAAAAAGAAACGAGAGGGAAAGGCATCGGAAAAGAAATGCGTAGAACGCTGTCAAGGGGGGGACAGGCCAAAGGCCCGATGAAGGAGAGAAACAACGACAAGCCAGGCGAAGGAATGTCAAAGACGCGAGTGTCAGAAAGCCAGAGGGAAAATCGAGGGGAGCAACCCACGCGAGCATGTTTCAGTCGGGCTGAAGTCACTGGCGTGCAATAATGGAGTCATCCTCTTTTTGGGGGCTGGCCTGGTTGGAATCCGCCGATCATTCCCCGGGCCCATAGTTGCTGTCGGACTGGCGACTGCTGGTGGTGCCTTTCTGTTCGTCGCGATGATATAATAGGCAAGACTATAGGTTCTCTAAGCCCTATCAGCGTCCCTGAAGGCGATCGATCTGAATTCTGAAGGGGAGAGACAGCCCCCACTGGTGTGAATTTTAGTTCATGGCACTAGTTTTGAGTTGGGAAGTTGAATTGCGTTGAAGTGAGTACGTAGAATCACTAGAATGATTACTAGTCAGGGTGGCGGTCACGTTACGAGGAACGTCACACAAGCCATACCGGCAAAGCCCTATTCGCCTTCTTTCGGCCAGTCTAGGGCATTGCTCTGCCCTTCCAGTTCTCCCTCTCTCCCTCTCTCTCTCCTTCCTCTCGCACTTTCCACGGCCCGCGACCGTTGGAACCAGTCAATCCTTTCAGGGGGTTCCAGCCAGTTTTCTTGTCTTCCTTTCAACTTGGCTAATTATTTCCCCGGTTACAACTGAACCAGTTCCCTACATTTCATTCAGGCACAAAACTAACCAAAATATCGGGGTTGTGGTTCTGATTGTGTGGCTGACTCTAGTGCATTTACTTTGTAATAACTCGGTCGCTTACTATACCCCTTCAAGCATTATCTTTACTTTTTCCTTAACAGTGAACCTTGTAAGGTTGTTAGTTTGTAAGGCTGATTTGCCGTTACAGTGCCACTTCTCGCCCCTGAAATCTGCTGCAATCAATCTCACTGAAACCATGTTATGCACACCTGTCAGCCCGTCAGACGGCTGCCCCTGGAACTAGTCGATATTGTGATTAGTGCGTGGGATTGGAGGCGTTAGATTCGGCCGCGTTGTGTGGTATGATAAGATGTAAAATCGGAATAGTACACTCTCGGCTCCACATTACTTGGACCACCACAACATTTTGTATAGTGTATCGCATGTTGCAGTAAAGACGGATATTTGAAAGCAAGCAGTGAAGATCTATCTGCGGGAGATCGGAGTTTTCACATCGGACAGCCCGTTGCAGTATCACGCATCCTTAACACTGGTACCGGAGCAAAGATGACAGGTCACTCCGTCGGCTGTTTCAGAGTGGCTTCTAGACCGTTTTAGTCCCTCGGCCAGCCCGTCTCAACCTCTCGCAGTTTTCCACTGTGGCTAGACCATAAGAGCTGAGGGGCGATAAAAATTAATTGGATTACTAGGCTGTGTTGCCGATTGCGTTTTCAACGTCCACAATCAAGGTTAATACGAGTCTGTTCCTGAGTCTTCAACTTTGTTTGAGCAGTTTCACTTTTTGCATGCTTTCATTGCCACCACGGGATAACTTCAAACCCCTGAGCGAAGGAAAATAGGGAAAAAAGAATATTCTTGCTACATGGGCTCAGAATGACTGAAATTCTAATGAAATTGAAGGTATTCATAATGGCAATGTCAGGAATATTGGATGAACATCATGCACTTAGAAATATATTAGATCTGAGTACAGATACCCACTCTAGTGGTGCTTGTCCGATGGGTGTAGTACCACTAAATTCTATAGACATCTTTCATCACATATTCCCGATGAAAGTCAGCCATCATTCGACCAATGACAGAGTTCGCGATCTTCATATTACCCTCAAGGGAGATGAAAATAATGAAAGGATGCCTTTCTTGGCTGTTCACTACTCAGAGGTTTCGCAGACCATGAAATTGCGATTTTCAGGTTGGACCATATTAGACATTATAAAGAAACATCAAGTATATGAAGGCCAACGCCTCTTGCATGGAGTGCTACACCATTCCTTCGGCTTGTTCAAGATCAGGAATAGATGCGCTCAAGAGCTACACAGCTAGCTAGTTTAAATCAAGAGGACCTTGCATCAGTCTTTTTGCAATGTCATACACCTGTTTTCCGGTTGTCACGCGCGCTCTTCACAGCTGGTAATCCCCAGGTCACCATCCAGTCTGAGCTCAGTACATCCGTCGCTGTTGCTCGCTTCTTAGGTTTCATTGCCAGCATTGAGCGAAGCATGCTTAGAATGACTACCTGCTCCTCTTTGGCGAACGAAGACATATTATCCCTCTGCCGTGCGGCCTGTACGTCCTTCTCGAAACTTTGCTCAAGATATGGGTAAACAAACCGATCTTTCTCAGGCCTTCCGATCTCTTCAAAATACTCATGGCGTTTCTCCCATGTATTCCACCATTCAGGCGGAATCTCTCCAATGACATCTACTTGTTGAGAGGCTATGTCATGTCGAGTGGTGAGTGTGGTATCAAACAGCCACCGCAGGCCAAATATGGAATACATAGCACATGCAAGTCTCCAGATGTCCGAGGGAAATGTAAGAGGCTTGTCAGGTTCAAAGTATGCTTCAGGCGGTATAACTGGAAGCGGCGAGGGACAGTCTTGCCCACGTCGCCGCTGCTCAGTGTCGGAAGGGGAGAAGCTCTCGCCAAAGTCGCTAAGAAGAAGCTGGGCCTCATCCGGCGGAATTTCGAATGCTCGTTTTCCTAATCAGACCGGTATTGTCCCACACGTAGGGACGCCAGGAGGGAGAGGCTGTCCGTCCAGTCGCACAACTGGTTCCGTATAGGGCTCACCGAACTGCTCATAGAATTCCTGGACTGAGAGCTTGTCAAGGCTAGTAGGTAGGTGTATCAGGATGTTTCCAAGATGAATATCTGTTATGGTTTTAGTGGTATTTTTATGGCATTGCCCCCCTCTCATATACACGAAAGCATTCAGGATGAGTATATCCTCACTTACCTCCATGGACATAGCCTTGAACATACGCAATATCTTTGCTTCATGAGTGGAAGAATCTCCAGTACTCACCTTGACCGCTACATAGGCTGCCTTTTGCTCGTCTCGTGACAGCCAGATTGTAGAAAAGGCCCCATGGCCCAGCTTGTGAATCACTCGGTACCGGCTCTTCAGCACATCTCCCACACATATTGGATGATACCCCCCTATTCTGTACCTCTCTAGCATTTCCAGTTCTTCGATAAGTTGATATTGAAAGGCGTGAGTGTCATTGGTTGTAGAGGTCATGGCATTTCGGATGGTCACAACCAGGCGTCGAGGTGACTGTAGATACCAACGGAAAACAGAACGTCTTGAGGGATAAGTAACTTCACGCCAAGAAAAAGACAAGCCGCTGATTGAGTGACCAGGCCATCTCATAATGATTAAGCCGGATGTAGATGTCATCGAGCCTGGTTATTCGTGATGACGTCCGAGATGAAGCACAGTGCTGTCACTGTCAAGGGTCATGCGACCCACATGTGCGTATGAGGCTATTTCCCAATAGATCTAAGAGCATGTACCGTGTGTATGTGTTAGGACTGGATGTTGCAGCTTGACCTGCTTTATTCTACGGCTGACCCCGCAACTCATCAAAAGTCCTACGAGGAACCATGGAAACAGCCTACGCTATGACCCTTTCTGTGAATTATCTTTGGAAAGCAACAGAAGTATGGTATAAGAAGTACCTTAGTGAATCACACCATGCTAAAACCACATGTGTTGTCATCATTCACTGAGGCTGTTTGGGAGCACAGACTCATTGCGAGCCCGACAACCCCAGACAGAACTACCAATTTATTTCTGTTAGACTAGTTGCTGTTTCCCACAACATACCTCTGTTATCGTTTTCATACCTCTGGTAACTACGTAAACCACATCTTTAACGTGCAAAAGTCCTCAGATGACAAAGCTCATTTTAGCCTTGCCGTACTCAATGAGACCTTGCAAGGTCGACTGCAGTCAACGGAATTTCACTGTATTACAACTGACAGAACGTTTCCCTCCTAAGAACCGTCTAAGAGTGAGGGATAACACATTCTTTTAAAAAGGCCCAGTGTTATTCGATGGACTGACCAAGTAGGAGGTCTGTTTCCCGGGTAGCTTCGGTTAGCTTGGTGCAGTTTGTACAGAGTAGATCTCAGTAATAATGCAACATGGCCCGCATGCCAGCAGCTATATGATCATCGTAACGGCATCTTAGGATGCGCGCTGACTAACATCTTCAACATGCTCAGATCTGGCCCATAAGGTTAGCCTTTTTGATTACCTCCTCTTTTCCCTGTTTGAATCACCAGTTACTTTTTCTCGATGTAGTTTAGTGTCCAATGGGCCCTAGTAAGGTAGTATCAGCTGGCTTCATCCTCGGTGGTTAGGCCGCTTCAGCTGGGATTCTCCGGCGGACGGCAATATGCTGACCTAGGGGGTGCCGACCGGTGCCATGCCCTTTACAGCTAGTTATTTCCCAAAAAGTTACACTACTGCATTTAATGTCAATAAAATGCGTCTCAGCGACACTGCGCGTCTAAATCAGTACGCAGGAGCGACGTTGGGTGGACAGAAGCTGAATAGGGACGAGCCGTGGGTGAAGGGAACATGAAGACAACCTGTCTTGGTGCGCACGCCCACAGAAGTTCAGCTTCGGGGCTTCGTATCTTGCAATATATCTTCGAAATTGCCAAATATTGATTGGATTCGGAGGATCTCTCAGTCTTTCCTAGAACGGGTTAAGCCTGGCGGTCCGGTTCTGCATGGTTGTCTTGTAGCTCACTGCCTAAAGAAGATGAGAAGTGGACAGATGACGGGACAATCTTCCAGAGGTGCCAATTAGCAGGATACCTCTGATTGTGGCTGGCTGTCCGAGCGTTTCTCCTCCGCCAGACGGGCGGGGAAGAGAAGTTGGACCCGCAACGGCGCCACAGATCGTTTGTACGCTATCATTCGAGTTGCAGATGCTCTGCATTAGCGACTCAGGTTGTACCCCTCTGGCACGGCAGACTGATTCAACCAGTCGACGGAGTCTCCGGGGGTGCCCATCATTTATAGCCCTGCTCGAATTTGCTCTCAATTCTGTGTCCTGAGTGCAGTTCTGACCTTGAAATCGACCCTAACCATCGCTAACCCTCCCCTCAACCACCATGTTTGTATACGCATGGCTAGGCATAGCTCTTCTCACTTACCATGCTTTACGCAGCGTATATAGGCTGTGTTTTCATCCACTTCGCAAAATTCCGGGCCCGAAGCTAGCAGCTATCACCTACGCTCACGAGTTCTACTACAATGTTATCAAAGGTGGCAAGTTCGTGTGGGAAATCGAACGCATGCATAAAATATATGGTACTTTTTACTACTTTGTCCCAGCTATTCCACATCTTTCGCTCATGACCATCTCTTCAATCAGGCCCAATCATTCGCATCAACCCCGATGAAGTCCACATCAACGATCCGGATTACTTCGAGGAAATCTATACTTCCCGTGCTCGCCGGCGAGAGAAAGACCCTTTCCAAGTAGCCCAGTTTGACATCGACGGCGCAGCCTTTTCGAGCATTACACCTGAGATACATCGTCAACGACGCGCCCCTCTCGATAAATTCTTCTCAAAACAAGCCATCTCCAACATCGAGTATCTCATCCACGACAGCCTAGACAAGATCATCAAAGCCTACAAGGAGGCGTACCAGAGCAAAAGTGTAGTGAGCTTGGACACCGGGTTTGCAAGCTTGACTGCGGACATCATCCACCAGTATGCCTTTGGGTTCAACCCGGGTAACCTAGACGCGGAGGGATTCAACGAAAGCGTACGAGATGCCGCCAACGCGGTCTTGCAAAGTATGCACTTACTCAATTTCTTTCCCTTTATCAAAGTGGTCCTTGGCCTGCTGCCGCACGGGTTGCTGCGCCTTATCAGCGAGCCAGCAGTGAAATTAGCGAAGGAAAAAGAGGATTTGTATGCGAGAAGCGCGGCAGCGCTAGAGAGCAACCAGTCTCCCGTGAAGGAAGATGAAAAGGTCAGTAATAGCAAAGGCGCGATTCTGGATGCTATTGCTGGGCCTCGTATGCCAGCACATATGCGGACGCCTAAGCGACTCATGGAGGAGGGGCTTTCTCTGGCCATTGCGGGAACGGAAACCACAGCGCGGGCGCTCTCTGTCGGGACCTATCACTTGCTTACGAAAGAGGATGTCAGGGTCAAGTTGAAAGAGGAACTGAAGACCGTTATGCCTACACCTGATATGCGGGTCAGTCGCACGGAGCTGGAGAAGCTGCCTTATCTGGTGAGTACCATATTCATTTTCGAGTTCATCTATCAACAATAAATACTAAGCTTTGCGACATGTAGTCTGGTGTCATCAATGAATCCATGCGTCTTGCAACAGGCGTATCTTTCAGGATGACCAGAGTAGCTCCCACAGAAGCATTGGTTTACAAGGAACATGTCATTCCTCCTGGTGTACGTATCATCTTTCGCAATGCTGTTGATGCCGTCAGTCTGCTAAAAGCTTCTACACCATCAGAGTTTTTTCAGCTCATCCACCGTCTTCATCCTCATGAATTCGAACATTTTCCCCAATCCCCACGATTTCGATCCGGAACGCTGGGTCCGAGCTGCTGAAAAGGGGGAGCGATTAGATCGGTATCTGGTGAACTTTTCCAAGGGTGCTCGGATTTGCCTTGGCATGCAGTAAGTTAACAAGTCTAGAGATGAGAGGATCAAATGGTTGCTGATGTAGTATTTAGACTGGCTTATGCCGAACTTTTCATTGTTATTGCCGCACTTATGCGCCAATTTGAGATGGAGCTAGTCGACACTCCAAAGGAGACCATTGAATTCGCGCGAGACTTTGGCGCGCCGTATCCTGAGAAGGGAAACTTGTCCGTCAAAGCGAGGATTACGGGGTTGGCTCAGGAGTAGGTAGGCCCGACTAAGTTCAGGCATAGTGTTCACTCAGCTCTTGGAAATCATGGTATATCCGATCAGATAGTCTAGGCTGATGAAGGCCTAGCTAGTTGTCATGATGGATGTGATAGTTATGTCAGCTCTTGTTCATACAAACGCAACAAAATATATACTACCTCTCCTATCAGCACATCTGCTGCATGTGAAAACCTCTGAATGTAAATCCCTGCCCGCTGGTTGTATCAATCTACAATACTGCCAGCGATAAGTATCTTCAGTTACATCAATCACGATCTAGCACATGGCATTCCAATACTATACACAAGGAATAGTACCTTGCTTATTTGAATTACTGTCTGTTGTTGAGGGTGGTACACAGCTCTGCAAGGGGATCGTTGTCGGCTGAACATGGTAGGACGCGTGAGTTGGGATGCATTGCCTGTTGAGTGGAATTTCCGTAGCAGCACTAGGAGCTCCCTGCAGTTACTAAATCTATACAGCTATCAGGCCAAAAGAATATCGGATAATACAATTGGAAGGGCATTTTCTAACTATATGAGCGCGGTTGTACATGTCTTTCATGTTTAACAATAACAGCCATAATAACAGCCATCGAATCAATAAAGTAAGGGGCTAGTGGATTTGAGATATGAGTGATCTGACTTTTCGGTTATGCAGGAGTATCTCAAAGGAAATGATGGACTCTAGTGAACTTGGTGTCTAGTATGCATAATTTGCGGATCTCTCACCATGATTGGAAAAGTGATAAATCAGAGACTGGACAGTGTTACACATATGCACAAGTAGATTCCGTTGGTATGGACATCTGAACTCCCAACACTGCTTGAAACATAATCATTGCATTGATAATACGCGTGGTGATTTCGTTGATCTGTGCATCACGTCATGTGCTCTCCACTTTCTAGCATGCCATCTAACCATATAAAGAGGGGGTCCAAACCCTTCTCATCAGTACGTTGGCGGCCATTGCCTAACAGTTCTTTAGGGACATCTATACTAATTAAGAGACCTCCTTCTTGAAGCTTCGTATTTTTCCTTTGATTTTACGTGTCTGTACCCCCTCGACGGCTAAAAGCCGACATGAGCGTGCACCAGGACGACCAGGTGATTGACAGCGACGAGGTCGACCGCATCGCGATTTCCCCAAATGCCCCCGACCAGGTACCACGTCTGATCTCAGAGATCAACACACATGGTCAGGCCTTTATGTCGGGGCAGTCTAGTGTGCGAGCTCAATTGGCAGATGCTGCGGAGTCGCTGTTAGCCGCGCTCGAATCTCCACGAGAAACGATCCATCGGCAGAACTTTCGGAACGTAAGTTCTTCTCGGTACTATACGTGAAGGATAGAGGAGAGAGAAGCAATTATTCACTATCTTAGTAGCCCACTGGGTGGGCTGCCATTAATATTGCCATCGACCTGGGCATATTTCGCCTGCTAGCTGAGACCAAGCGGCCCAAGTCGATCCCGGAACTGACCAGTGCCACCGGAGCGGACCCTGTCCTGCTGGGTGAGTGGACTTAGCATCTAGCTTCTCTTTTAACCAAGAGTAACTCTTCTACAGCGCGTATTATGAGGCATCTGGGGGCTATCCATGCCATCGTTGAAACGAAAGGCGGCGAATACACTACTAATGGGTTTTCCTTCACACTCGCCCACAGGAAATATTCTGACTCGATCCTCGCAGTGTTAGTCCTCTTCAATTGCATGATACTGTAGTATTGCATACTAATATAATTAGCGCGGGCTCCATGTACCCCTCGATCAATGGTATACCTCAGTTCTTTCGCCAGAATGGCTACCGAAATCCATCCGACGGCCGTCACTGTCCCCTTCAAATGGTCTATCGCACGACCGACTCCTTTTTTGAGTATCTCGCTCACAACCCAGTCATTAACGCACAGTTCAACACTCTCATGGGAGTCCATCACCGGGGCCGTGCCAGCTGGATGGATCCAGGCTTCTACCCGGTCGATCAACTCATGTCTCCATCTCCGATAGGTGAGCATGACGTGCTTCTGGTCGACGTTGGCGGTGGAAGAGGCCACGACCTCAGCGAATTGCGTGCCAAGTGGCCGAACCTTCCCGGGAGGTTGATTCTTCAAGATCAGCCTGCCGTCCTGGCTGAGGCTACCAATCTATGTCCGTCTATCGAACCCATGAGCCATGACTTTTTCACCGAGCAGCCAATAAAAGGTATGTTCCACTTTTTCTACTTTCTCATTGTATCTCCGTTGACTCCTTCCTCTTGCTTTGGCTTCTTTCCATCTATCCCTGCTCCGCCATCTCGTATGGCTGACCGAAGCTGACTGAGGCTGACTGCGGACATCCAGGAGCTCGCGCCTATTTCCTCCACTGCATCCTGCACGATTGGCCGGACAAAGACTGCCATCGGATTCTCGAACCCCTCAGAGCCGCCATGATCCCAGAGGTCAGTAGACTTCTAATCAACGATTACGTTATGCCTGACCAGGGTGCGCACTGGCAGGCAACATCGCTGGACATTAACATAATGTCGATCTTAGCGAGTTTGGAGCGGACGGAATCGCAGTGGCGGCAGTTGTTGACCGAGGCGGGGTTTCGCGTTGTTAATGTATGGACTGTGGATCGGTGGTCGGAGAGTTTGATAGAGTGTGAGGTGGTGGCTTCTTCGGCGAGTGAGACTGTCAGAAACAGACTTTAAGGGAGGTGTCGTTCCAATGTTAGCTTGTTGGTGGTTTCATCGCGTTGTTTCAACGGGTCTTGCTGTGTGTTTGGGGGTGATGTTATCACGAACCTAGTCAATTTCTCTAGCTATCGACTTCTAGAGTATAGGTATGACTTAGTCGAAGGAGTTATCTTGAGGATCATTCAATGCAAGGGAGTCCATGTTAGTAAGGGATAAGGGAATGGTGACATCGTGAGCAGCTGTAGTCGGCCATTGTTGGAAAGATCGAGATAGTCAATGCCGATCCTTACCAAAATGGTAATCAAGCGATCTTGTCAGGATCAGTGGGTATGTCGCTGAGATCAGTAGATATGTGGGCTGCTTGTAGGAATACTAACGTGATCCACATTCGCGCGGCCCATACAATCGCGCGGCCCACCTAATCATGCTATATAAGAACTACTGTTTAAATTGGAATATCTCAACCACCAAGACTTCATTTTGAATATACATATTATTATTTTAATGAATTTAATTTTAGTATTTTTTTTAAAAATTTTATTGCTATATATATTGGCTGGTAATATAGAATACATACAATTTGCCTGTATCTTTACATTATCAAGATATTGGATATATATTAATTATTTATAAATTTTGAATAATCCTGGTATACTTATTAGCATATTTATAATCTACATACAAAGTTATAGCCCCCTAAATAAAGAAATAGTTGAGATATAATAGTTCTAAGAAAGATATATTTTGTATGGAATTACAAGATGGGCCGCGCGATTGTATGGGCCGCGCGATTGTGGATTACGTTAGTACTCTGTATATAGCCCATTTTGGGGGACCGGCTTTTTTTATCACTAAATCTGACAGATGGGAGCTGTTTGTGTAAGTTGGTGGCCAACCGGTCGGTTTAGAAGCCATCAAGTGACTAGGGGCTTAGGGAAGAGAGTTATCTGACTCACAATTTTTTTCATGGGTAGCCTTCAGCATATTATCGACATAGACAAGTTTTATCCGACACGCGGAACAACGGCATTGTAGTAGTCCAATGGATATCTCTCGGAAAGACTAGTATAGACTGTATAATAATGGTATTTAATCATCAAAGTGTCAATCAGATCTTGTAATGGACTCCTGTATAATGTCTTGCGGCGTAAAAGTCAGTCATAGCGCAAGGGAACTCGGCATAACGGATATAGCGAATTGACCCTGAGTACCTGACTGATTATAAAGATCAGCAAATTTACAGGTAAGCTAAACCATCTTATCCCACTTTAATACAGAGTATCGCACGAAGGATCTGAAAAGCTCCTAAAATCAGAGATCAGATGCGAGTAACACCTTAAGAAGAGGCGGCAATCATCTGACCCCCTGGGACTAAAATCTGACACTTGCGGGATCCTACTCCACCACGCGTCTTCTGCCTCCCGAATCCCGAGCCGCACTGTCCCATAAACCTACCCGTTTACTTATTGCCCCCAATCGCCAGAGTTGCTGCCTACCGTTGGGAGGTTTCTGCCTACCGCTGGGAGGGTTACCCCTGCTTACCAGTAGCACAGACTGCATTCCACGCAGAACCCAGCAAAATGGCACTGCCCCGGAAAGACCAAGTTCTCTCGTCCCGAGAAATCGAGGGCTTAATTGCTGCAGGACAGTCGATCGTCATTGTTAATCAGAAAGTGCTACGTGTCGATTCATGGATCCCATACCATCCCGGGGGTCACAAAACCATCCAACATATGGTCGGCAAGGACGCCACCGATGAATTCACCGTGTATGCACACGATCAATGATGTAGGAAAGGAGCTCAAACTAACTAGTGGGGCAGATTCCACTCAGAGGAGACCATCAAAATGGCCGATCGGTACCAGATCGGCCGGGTAGAGGGACGATGGCGGAATTTTGTGCCTCCCATCCAGGGTGGACAGTTCAGACCGTATCTGGACAACAAGGCACCTTCAGACACCAAGCAAAATACTCCTAGTCCTTCTGTCATGGGCCACAATGAGCCAACTGACAATGGAGATGGCCGCCTCAATCCAATTCATCAAGCAGCGACCGAGCTCAACACCAAAGAAGCAATGACCTTCCTAGACAGCCAAACCAAGGAAGAAATCAGCCTCACCCTAACCCGCTACCCATCCCTCGACGAAGCGACCCAAGGCGACATCATCAAAAAGTACCAACATCTCCATGACCAGATTCAAGCCGAAGGCCTCTACAACTGCAACTACATGGCCTACGCGAAAGAATTCGCACGCTGCTCACTAATCTTCACCACCATGCTCCTCTTCCTCCATTATGGCTGGTACTGCACCAGCGCCATCTTCCTCGGCTTCTTCTGGTCCCAACTCGTCTTCTCCGCCCACGACGCTGCTCACATTGCCATCACCCACAACTTCACCATCGACAGCCTCATCGGCATGACAATCGCTGCCCCCATCGGCGGCCTCTCCCTAGGCTGGTGGAAACGCACCCACAACGTCCACCACATCGTAACCAACGCCCCCGAACATGACCCAGATAACCAACACCTCCCCTTCTTCGCCGTCAACCACCGCTTCCTGGGAAACCTCTTCTCCAGCTACCACGAGCGCCTCATGCCCTACACAAGAGCAGCCAGCCGTCTCGTCCCCTACCAGGCCTACCTCTACTACCCCGTCCTCATGTTCGGCCGCTTCAACCTCTATGTCCAATCCTGGATCTTCCTCATCCAGGGCCAAGGCCCCCGCAAAGGCCCAGCCTGGTGGCACCGCCACTTCGAAATCGTCGGCAACCTCCTTTTCTGGCTCTGGTTCGGCTACGGCCTTGTATACCGCAGTATCCCGACAGCCTGGGACCGATTCCTCTTCGTCATGATAAGCCACATGGTCACCATGCCGCTGCACGTGCAATTTACCCTCTCTCACTTCGCCATGTCAACGATGGACCTCGGGCCCAGTGAATCTTTCGCCCAGCGCATGCTCCGCACAACCATGGACATCGATTGTCCCGAATGGTTGGATTTCATCCACGGCGGGCTGCAGTTCCAGGCAATTCATCATCTGTTCCCTCGCGTACCAAGACATAATCTGCGGAGGACGCAGAAGCTCGTGCTGGAGTTCTGTCGGGACGTGGGCATCCCGTATGCGCTGTATGGGTTCGTAGATGGTAATCAGAAGGTCGTAGGCAGTTTGGCGGAGGTTAGCCGTCAGGCTGCAATCTTGGCAAAGTGCCAGAGGACGATAGCGGAACGGGGGGATTTGTTGTATGGGAGGTGAGGTGAGGTGATGTGAGGTGATGTGAGGTGATGTGAGGTGATGTGAGGTGATGTGAGGTGATGTGAGGTGAGGTGTGCGTGGACAGACTGTTTAGGCTGTGGAGATTGTAGAATAGAATTCGGTTAAATATCACAAATTCCATGAGCTGAATGGAAAATGAACATATGTTGTCACAGTGAAAATTCTGAGGCTACCAGGTACACTATACAAGGATTCCGCTCCCTCGCTCGGCCCTAACGCCGAGTCCGAGGGGGGTCCAGATCACGCGGGTGTCGCGTCTATGGCCTGCCTCCGAACGGACAAAACCAGGCACACTAGGCAGATTTAGACAGGCTCAAGGCGGTTGATACGTAGAGAAAATGCATTATCATACGACCAGAAGAAAATTTAGCAAGCTAACCAGAAGAAGCTAGATTTTGTTTGGTTTGAACTGGCGACAAAATTAATGACTAGATACTGTTTTGGAGGGTGAGGATTATTTCGTCAATCAGTTTGAACCTGTTTCGGATGGAGAGGAAAGATAGGTTAAACAAGAATAGTTAAAGGTAATTTATGGTGGAGAAGTATGTACGGAATAATATCATTGAGTCTGATTTAGGGAGGGTCTGGGGGCGGTGTGGACAGTCTGGAAAGTCCAGCAAAGGGGAGAAAGGAAATGGAGAGGCGATGGAAAAAGTACGTAAATGAAAATTAGCTGGCTGAATCGGCGATTATTCTGAAAGGATTTCAAGCGAAAAGCTTATAGGGGGGGACTTTAGCCAAATGAAGGAAGGAACACAAATCCGGGATATCCTCCTAAGTATGACAAAAGCACAGATCTTGGATACCCTCCCAAATGGGACAAAAGCACAAATCTTGGATATCTTCCCAAATGGGACAAAAACACAAATCTTGGATATCCTCCCGAATAGGAAATAACAATCTACCAATGTCATTTGCTTAGGTGGGGGGCTGGGGGTAAGAGAAGACTTTCCAAAGTAATTTAGGTAGACCAGGGAAAGTTCAAATTGGATTTAATTGGATCTAGGAAGACCTAGACAAAACGATAGGATCGAGTAGGAATACGATAAAATTGCACAGGAGTCGATAGAAATGAGCAATGACATAACCTACAGTTCCAATTCACTATCACGGGACATCTACGGAAGGCAGATGAGTAGATCAAAAATCCTTGATGGCAGGACCCGTCCGATAGGAGGTACATCCATTTTACACCTGAAGTAGACTAACAATTCAGAAGAGTACAAAATCTAATAACATAGATGTAACTGAATGCGATCCTCGCTCCCTGGCAGACATGAACTAGATCCGACGCGTTGGGCTAATGATCGCACGCACGGTTACCGCTGAGCAAAACAAGGCCCTGTGGAACCGGACAGTAGCAACCCTCTCCGACCGACCTGTCGATCAGCAAAAGCGAAGAGGGTGTGCTGAAACAGTCAATCCTCCGGTACCGTTGTTGCCAGACGACTCGGTCGCGCAATAAGTTAACCTTTCGACTACTGCAAGCAAGGCCCAGGCCAATCATAATCAGGGGTTTTGTTGGTTGGCACAGAAGGAGCAATGATGTTTTGAGGCTGTAGCACTTCCTACAAGGATCAATTCCTGAATGAACACAATCCGACACGTTGATCTGCTAAAAAAGAAATTATGGGACCGACAGAATCTTCATTCTTGGCAAAGCTGGGAGGTAAGCTAACTCAAGAAACGTTCATTGCTCAGGAACAATCTCGTGCCACAGCTGATTGACGGGCCATTCCGTCCAAGCTAAATCCGACCCCAGTACACCTTCGACGGATCCAGCTTTTCCCACTCACACCCTCCTCCGGTGCTCCAGTGATCTGCAGTCATTCGCACTCAAGGTCAAAATATAACCTGGATCGTAGATGCGTACTTTTGTTGTTCTAGCAGGCTGTTTTGCTTCCGGGTGTCGCTCAGCATTGTCTAGGCATAGATTTGAACTTATGCCCTATTTCTTCACTTTTTCTATTTTTCTTTCTTGGATTCGCAATAATGTTATTATTAACTTCTTCTTGTTCTTCTTTCCACTCAAGAATTGAAATAAATTAATAAAAAAAAGCAAAATGCTTCGAAAGCACTTTTGAATAAAGACTAATTGGCTACTGACTACTTGCCCAAATAACAATAATAACAATAATCGGAAAGAAAAGACAAGGACAATGGGTCTGCATAATTTTTGCACATCCGGGGTTTTGCCGCATGCACGACGGCGGAACTCGCATCCTGATGCGCTCTGCAGTAACACCGTACTAGGATTATCTCGAGAGACCTGGAAGGGGTTCCCCCTACTCACTTCCTCATTGAGACCTCTGCAGATGACTTTTTAAAGGCATTGATCAATTTCCTTTTTTCTAGTTATGCATATGTCTAAAGCAGCCACCGAGATATTTGTACGTAACTAGCGTAGGCAGACTGAATGATTCAATGACGCCTTTCGTCTCCTATCTTTGGTTTTGAGGCGGTACTGATATGTAATATACGAAAATATTACATGAACCTGACTCACAGGCTAGCATTATTCATCAATGAGGCGGAGCGTTTCCCATAGCGACATCTCCTAGAAAACTTTGCCAGCCGCCAGCCTTGCGGTGATAGGTAGATACGGAGTAGTGCCGAAGCTTCCCGACGTCCCAACAGGACCGTAGCTCCATATCTTTCCAGAACCACATACGCAGTACCTGCTACCATCTTGCACAGACCTGGATGCGAAACAGCCGAAGACAGGTCGGCATCTCTTGTTCTGGGGGTCGTGGCGAAAATGCATTACGATAGCCTAAAAGCCGCGTAAACATTTAGAGTGACCATTGGCAGAGCCATTCATGTAGATTGAATTGCCATTTTAGAAGTGGTCCTCCCAAGTACAGATAACCGTCAAGGCTCTCCGATCTTGGTGAATAAATATAGGTAACATATGAGTTCTACTGAACATCAGGAGTTGTCTCCTTCACTAGATAGAAGAATGGAAACTGGAGCGATCGTAACTCATTAGCGGAAAGGGAATAAGACCCGCCTCCATGTTGATAAAAGCTTTTAAGGCTTAATAGATACAGCAGAGGGTTTTAGTGCCTCCGAAAAGTCATCAATCTCATTGCCGCGAGGTATCAGCATGCCAATCCCGGCGGCGCTTTGGGCACGAGGCAGGGTGGGACCAAGCCAACTGAGCCCAGTGTTCGGTCTGGCGGTATACTCTGTGCCTGAGCTAGCTCGTCCTCAGAGATCATCAGTTCTGGTGCGAGACACACGCACGGGCGCTAAGTGTGTCATCCCGACATGTACCATATGTACCATGTAAGAAAAAGAAATGCGTGTGCTGTAGGGTTGTGGAGATTGCCCACCTCCAACCCACCGTCTGCGCATGCCTATCAAGCCCTCTAGACCAGATATCGGATTCGGGTTATGCATAATGGGGAGACTTAGCTGTATTCCGGGGCCATGACTCTTTCCATCCGGCTAAAATTCTACACCTCATGACCTATGCGAAAGTTATATAAAGGGCCAATGTCCATCAATGACTGCTCCCTTCCATCATCAAGATCATTCATCGTCCCATGATGAGTTCTCTCGCATTTCGTGTTTCTCTCACGTTCTCCGTACACACCTCGCCAAACCGGTCTGTGCGATCAAGTGAAGAACCTGGCAACTTTACGACCATGTTCTTGACTATGATCATCTTTGCCGATCCGATGAGAAGAATTCAACCACGGATTAGTGTTCTTTATCGACTTCACAGAGGTAGATATTCCTTCCCAACTTTTAAGCCACTGGGGGTTGACATGATGCAAGGACCTCATCGGGGTGACTATCCTGACATCATGGATGAGGATGTTCGAGAGTAGATATACATGAGTGAGTGAGCCCGACCGATACAATGTAGGCAAACTTCATAGTGATGCCCCAGTGTCTTAGTTCTGCACCCACGGCCATGATATGTTATCGGGGCCGCCACTATCTGGACTGGTCTCAATGGGGCTTCTGTGTTTGTCGATATTTTGGCCACTCTGATATGTGTTGAAGCGATGTATGGATACGCCTTGGTTAGCGGGTTGTTGTATACTTTCAGAGAAACGCCACTCAAAATCAACAGCGCAAATGTATATTAGTATTTTTGTTTTCGTGATGGATCTCAAGATATATTAAAGATAGGGCTAGCGAGTAATTAGAATAGTTGTAGACGGTCAGTGGGACATGGTTTATCCTATGGAATACATGATAAGCTGAAAATTAGACTGGAAACATTACTATCGTTGCCATTGATCTTTTACTAATTCATACTATATACAGAGCAATTGCTCATCACGATAACTAATTAGAGGTTTAGGCCTGTCTTGAACTCGTTCATGCAGTGCTTACTATACAGCTCTACTCGGAGGCATGTGTAATCTACTCACTTCTACCATTGACCTCCGTTGTTGCTCTTGCTATTTCACTCATTTTACTGTTTTAAAGTGTAAATGAACCTTGAATATTTCCTCTTACTTTATTACGTACGCCTATTTTGCGGCAGTGTTCTACATATAGTGTTCTTGGATTAGGAATGACTAGTTATAAGAAGAACGGAAGAGGTCCTCTACTGTTAGTAGATCTAGCTATACTATACGTGTGGTAGAATTATGCTGAACAGGAAGGTGCATAGGAATCATGTGACATATTTTCGCCCCCTATCTTGCCCTCTATTGCCTCCTTCACCTCCTATTACCTCCTATTACCTCCTATTACCTCCTATTACCCCATATCACCCATGTTTTCCCATATTTTCCCATGTTTTCCCATGTTTTCCCATGTTTGCCCATGTTTTCCCATGTTTTCCCATGTTTTCCCATGTTTTCCCATTTCTGCCCATGTTTGCCCATTTCTGCCCATGTTTGCCCATGTTTGCCCATGTTTTCCCTTGTTTCCCTTGTTTCCCTTGTTTCCCTTGTTTCCCTTGTTTCCCTTGTTTCCCTTGTTTCTTCCGACATGCTCTATTTCATCTACTTCACCTATTCTTCTTCTTTTCCTCTTTCTCCTCTATTTCCTCTATTCCTCTTATCTATTACTTCGATTATTTTACTCATCACATACACGTATTGTACTTTCATTACCACAACATTCTAACACGAAATGCCGTCCCTCTTGAACTCTGAACGGATGATTTGATACAACAAACACGGTTGAGTGCTGCGATTTGCGAATCGGCAACTGACCAAATGATTTGTCCGAGATCAACAACCACTCGTATCCCCCTAAAGACGTAGCACCGATTTTGACTACTCAATTGACAAGAGTTCAAGCACGAGGCCACTTTCACACACCGCCCCAATTACAGCCTCATCAGCGATCATCCAATCAACCACAGCTGGCTATCAAAATAATAATAAAAGAAAACAATCATTTGTGATTCTCTTATACGCCAATAGATAGTAAATGGCCTGCTAGGGGAGCTACCAGAGTAAGGCTGATCAATTATACATATCAATATACTACGGCCGGCGGCGATACTATCAGGAGATATATCAGTCCTCTAACACTCATTTTGGTTTTCTGTATTGTTATGACAAACCCATACTGCTATGACTGCGTGAATTTTATGGTCATGATAGTGTGGGCTCCTGTCTCCTTCATCACCATACTCAACAACTAGTCATATAATTCTTGGGGTTTCGATTGAATACCGACTGTTATTGAATCGAAATTTTCTTGACAGTGTTTCAGCTACTATTTGGTTATCATTAGTAACGTAGGCATAGTGCTTAGGATTAAAATTTTATTTTTCAAGTCGGACCCCCAACTACTACACCGGAAAGATACGCATCAATGACACTGGTTTTAATTTACACGACCAAGCATCAGAATTATAATTAGAATATAATAAAATAAAGAGCAGGACAATAAAAGTCAAAAAGCAAAATACATACAACAGAAGGGATTCGCTGGTGGTCACCCACCCAACTACTAACCTCCCGGCGTGTGGCTTGAGTACGGCTGAGCGGACGGGAAGCCCTATTTTCCACACCCTGTGGTCGTATGTACTGGAAATAACATCTTTCTAACCTATTACTATCACTCAGATTAACAGCTTGGGACTGAAGGAGAATAGGATCAATTATCAGTTGTGTTGAGAGAAGAGACAAGAGAAAGAAAGGCTTCATTGCCACCTACGACATTGTTCACGGCCATAGCTGTCAATAACGGAAGGGGTGTAATAGAAAGAAGGAATGCCATTCTCGTATGCTTTTGTCCTGTCGCTGTATTTGCACCCTCAGCTTGCGGCTTCTATTTTCGGCGACTGCCGTCTGATGCCTTCCATGCGATTTATATGGCGTCGTCCGCTCTAAATTGAGTACTGCCTTATCGTGGTATGTCGCCATCTGCTTCTTCTTCTTCTCTTCGCGCAACCTTTTCACCAACGGAATCGCCAACAGGTTTAGCCATCCGTAACCATTGTTTGGTTGCTCTTTGGCTGTCCACGATACCCTGTACGACATGTTCCTGGGTATCTGGGACCAGTGACTTCCGCCAACACGTGATGGAGTCTTCTCTTATCCTCTCTCCCGAAAGATATAAGTCGAACGTCATTTCCCAGACTGAATAACATGCTTTATTCCGAGGCAGAGGGGAAGGGGAAGCGGGCGTAGGGGAATAGAAGGGGTTAAATGTACGAGCGCTATCCATAAAGAGAACAATGCAAAAGGAGACAAATCCAATAGTGTAGGCTGGGATTAGCTAGGGATCACCTTTCCAAGTATAACCTACTGGCGTGTGGCCTATATGCGTGAACTAGGCTGTCAGAAACAGAATTAGTACTTATATGTGACCATCACGTCTTGAGTAGAGCGACCTCTCCGAATGCTCGACCCCATAATTGAGAGTTCTGCTGAGAGCGACCCAAAATCAGCCCAAATTGGGAGACGACCTCTTGAAAATTGAGTGTAAATCAAGCCTTTATTAAACCTCCATGATAGATGATGCCCAATACATCAACTTGAATTACATAAGTTGTAACAACAAGGTAATGGTATAGAATACATAAGTTTCCTTCCTCCTTCGGTAACTTTGTCTTATCAGCACAGACTCCCAGTTGGAACCCAAGTTTCCAAAAAGGCCTTCATACAAGCAGCGGCAGTGCCGGCAGCATAGGGTTGCCAAGCCTTAGTCTTATGCGAGTCTGCATAGTCGCTCACACCCTTGATAATCACATGTGGTATGTTGTCGGAGATACCTGCACCCTCCATCTCAAATGCAATAATCCCCTCTCTTGTTGCGATAGAGTCGCGGCGCATGCCACTTCTCATCAGTGTATCGCCAGATGCAATGGCACCAAAGTGGACATGGGGCTTGGGATTGGGTTGTTCCAGTCGCTGACGCGAGACAACAATGTTGGACTCCCGTTTATATAACACGTCCTGTTCAGCGCCCGGATAGTGGTAGTCTCCATTGAACTGGGGGTGACTTTGAAGAAAGCGAAGATGGGTACCCATAGCATGATGAAGTGACGCAAGACCGCGGCGACTTTTCAATTTAGCCAGGTGTGCACGTATCTCAGGACTAGGTCTGCCAAGCGAGTCGAGAAGGGTGTTCATGCGGACAAACTGGTCTGGGTACTGTTTCCCAAAATCGTACTGGATGATCCCATCACCGATTATCACATCACCCAGTATAACCTCCTCGGCAGTATTCGTGAACGGAAGAGCTCCGCAGACGCCTACTAGGAGGGCAAGTTTTAGGTTTGGGAAGCTCACTCGGCAGTGAGCGGCAACTGCTGCAGCGCTTGCTTTTCCCATACCTGGCATGTGCACGAGCACGACGTTGTGCCGGCCAATCGCACCGCATGAATATGCGTTAGGGTCACAGGGGTGTTTGCCATATGCGGGCCCATTGTCATCCCAGTAATGGTCAAAGAGGGCATGTACTGCGTCTTGCTCGACTGTCAGAGCACAGATGATAGCAAGTTCAAAGTCACTCCGTGAGGTGGGACGCGGAGGTGACAAACTGCCTAACGTAGCAGCTTCATGGCCGGGCTCAAATTGATCTAAACCTCCATGAGCTGGATATTGCCGCGCTTCTGTCATACGCGATTCTAACTGGGTTCTCGGGGTCGACATTGTATCGAAGTCTGGGATAGCGCGGGAATGAGGACCAGGGGCGAACTGAATGTTTTCGAGACCCCTATTCGGCGAATATCCTGCCTGGACCAAGCCAGTATGATGAATAGCATCGTTTCGGTATCGTATTAAATTGTCTGTGAGGTTCTCCTGCCATCTATAGAGAGAATATGTAAGCAGAACCGTCATATATAGCCATCGCTTTCGCAAGAGACTCCTGAGACTTCAAAGAGACATACTGCCGGTGCCTTCTGGCATGTTCATTGGTGGTCCAAACAGGAGCCTGACTCCGATTCCTAATGGCAGGGCGATGAAAATCACGATCGCCTATATTGTGCCAGTGGATTGGTTGTCTGGGTAGTTGAGTAGACGGGGGCAGCGGAGACGACTGGCCTGTGTGCCAAAGAGCAGCTGTCGTGTTGTTTGGCACGTAGCTGAGACCAGCATTTGAGATGTAGTACTGCCTGCCAGTCGGTGTGCCATAGGCACCCGCTGCCGGAGAAGGGACATCCAAGATGATGTTTTCCCTGACATTTGCTGTACGATAGGGGGGTACAACACAGTTATGCATCAGCTGTGCTGTGATGGATTCGAGTAGTACAACTCCATTCTGATCCCTATGAAGGTTCGACGGTATGTTGACGAATGGCTGTTCCCGGCGCTCAAGTAGAGTAACGGGAGGGTTCTCGTGGTAATAGGCGTAATAATTGTCTCGTACAGTGTTGGTCGTGGACCATGGCATGGTGATAGAGCTA